TGAAATACTTATTATAACAGAAACAGATTTATGATTCCAAATGAGCTTATGTCATTTTAATAAATTTTTAATTTGCTTTAAGAGTTTAATACAAATTCACTTGCTGTGTTCTATTAGAACGGAATCATAAACCAGTTGTAGAATGAATTAATTAACTATAGGTTTTTTTTAATTCTTAAATTAAATAATAAATATCTTATTAATATTAATTTCAAGAAATATCCAAAAGAAATAATTTTAAGACCACTAATGATGGGTATTTGGCAATATTCGAAAAATGCGTATGGTCAGCCAAAAATTCAATAAATTAAAATACCAGAAACAAAAATGTTTGTTGTTGTACATAGTTCAAAACCTCTCTTAAAAGACTCCAGAATTCAATATTTTCTGAGAAAATAGTTCAGAAATCTGTTGAGAAATTAATTAATTCTTTTTTAACTTTTGGTTATTACAACTGCACTCAGATATAATTTGATTCGTGAGATTAAAGCTAAAAAATTCGTCTATCACTTGTTCCATATGCAAATAGTCAATGAATATGCATTAATGCTTCCAAATTTCATCAATGGATTTGATATTTGTTCATCATTTCTAATATAACAATTCGTTGACAATACAATAAAGTACATTTGGTACCGGTTTCTTATTTTTAGAACCAGTTCATTGTCTAATCAATTGCAGCGTGCAATTTGCTTGTTGGTCTTATAATGTTTTTATCGACACACCATCTTATCAACAAAAATATCTATTTTTTATTATGTTTTGTTGGAAGTGGAATATCTGCCGTATGTAAGAGATTTACATTTTAAATAAAATTTTTTATTACTTTGTAATTTTTCAGTAACTGATACATTTAGTAAAGCTGCCAGTTTATGAAATGGTCCATCAAATTTGTAGTTTTTACCATCGCATTCAAAACTATTCCAATTACAAAAAAAAAGTTTATGTTAACAACCACATTAAATTCGCATTCATTTAATGAATCCTTATCCTATTTAAATTCATCAAATTTAGTGAAGTTGATTTAAAAGATATTCATTACAATTCAATTAGTTATTTAAGCCTTCGTCTTTGTATTTATAATTAGAAGAAAAACTTCAAAAGTGTGGAATTTTAAATCTGAAACATCTGTACTATGTTTCATAGTAATTATCAACCAATTCTATTAGCTTTGAATCTGATTTCATTTATAACTATAAACCCATAAAATAAACGTGCTCAAAATTCAAGACTTCGTAAGATAATCGTATTTCGCATTTAACAAAACATTGTATGAAAACTCAAAAAGTTTAAAACAGTTAAAGTTTCCCTTTTGAAAGTCTTTAATTATATATATTTTGAAAAATGTATGTGATGACTGTCATATATATAAAATGACAATTCTTAGTCACGTTTCAATAAATTACACTCAAAGGATTAAAACTTTCAATGTTAAACAAACTTTTAATATTGATGTAGTATATGTAACTTATTTAATTTTTAATTGGAAAAATTTTTTTTATCATAAGAATTGAAATGATAAAAATTTAATTAAAGCAAAGTTTTTCAAAAAATAAATTATTACATTTAATTTTTTTTTTTTCTAAATGGTATACATATAAAAATCACAAAAGGATAGAACAGTATAACATATGATTATTCAATTCCTTATTTATAATATAGCTTGAGCTATAAATAAAGAAATATTAGTCATTGTTAATAATATTATGAAAAAATGCAGCCCCTAAAGGCGCATATATGGTATTCTATAGGAATTATTAAAAAATTTTAAAATTTAAAAATTGTGTAATTCTGTTCTATTTTTTAGGCAAGAGTTTCAGCAAATGCTTAGCACTTGTAGTAAGTCGATCCATATATGTATCTTCAGACGAGACAAAATCAGATAAAATATAAGAACGGTGTATTTCCTCACAATCGTTAAAGTCAAGTTTGCTTCAAATTACCAGGTATATACAAAGTCTTCCAATATAAAATCGAAACTATCCATTGGGTAGCTAAAAACTATGACGGAGCAATCAAATCTCGCAAATGTATAGATATCGAGCAGGATCACAGGATCGTTAATCTGTCGATAAGCTAAACAGTCGCGTAACCAAATTTATGCGAAAAATAGAGAGGGAGATAATATCCTAGAAACTGTTATTCCAACTTTCTCTACAGTTGACTAAATTAATTATAATTAGAGATAGAGAATGGAATATGATTATCTGAGTATATATGCAGAAAACTTGTTTTTTATGTGTATGTGTTATTTTCAAGAGCTGTATTAAAATGCGCTCTTTGCTTAAAAACTAAATCCAAATCTATCCTTTCTTTTTTTAGAATTATTTTTAATAGTTTACATTATATCTTTGATCTTCTAAATTTTATTATAAGAATTCTAAGTTACTATTAGCAGTTAAGTATTAACATGAAATTATATAGGAATGGTAGAGTTTTTCTTTTATATCTCAATTAAATTTTTAGTGGAGAATTTATCCTTTTCATTCCCTCTGCAAAAACCGTGAGCCAAACGACATTAATTTAATATCAGCTTCAGTTCAACACTCTTTTAGAAAACATAATAATTTTAAAGATAAAAATACCTTCATCCCTTGATGTTTTATCTGATAAGGAAGGAGTATTTAATCTTAGTTTATATGGTAGATCCAAATACTTTTATTATGGTAGATACCTTTTTTATATGTTTTATCATTCAAGAAAAGAGCTGCAAAAGTAGAGACTAATCAACAGTGAGAACATCCCTGGCATATGACAGAGCATCTCTAACCAAACAAATCGCAGAAGCTCCTTTAAATTTAATAAGAACTTGTCAAATTATTTGATCTCATTATTAGAAGCAATTATTTTTTAAATATTCTATACAAGTGGCTATACAAGTCTGTACAAGTCGAAGCCTTTTGTAGAAAAGATGGTATAACTTTTTACAATAAAAAGTACAAAAACAATAATTAAACATTAGTATAGTAAATCTCTGTTCATCTTTTTTTGGAGGAAACAGATTTCTAATTTAAAGATATATAAAAGTCATACTATAACAACTACTTGACTATTAAATTCTATGTGGCATAATGTTGAAATATTCATATACCATATGAATACCATGTTTAGCATATACTATAACCCAAGAAATCATAAATTCCAAACTACATAAAATAAATTATTAAATTTGATTTTAACATCAATATAACAGAAGTGACTATTTTTAATTTAATAGAAACTGTGATTTTTAATACAGACGTTTCAAGAAATGGTGAATTACATGCAGCAAAAATTCTTTTTATATTATTTTAATTAAAAAAAATATATCAATTTCAAAAAATAAATTTTTGAAATATACACTCATAATTCGATATTATTAACCCAACTAATAATATTTTCAACTAAATCATCTAAAAAAAAACAATTATATAAAAAAAGTTTGAATCCTAATAAGAAAATATTTTTTTTAAATAGAAATGGTATATGTGGAAAAATATAATAAGTTATTAAATTTAATAAAATTGAGTAATTGTTATTTCTCGAAATTACTTTGTTTAAGTCTAAAAATCACTGAATAAAGCAAATCTCTTTCTATTTGAGAAGCCATTAAATATTTATTAAATTATATTGCAATTATTTATGTAAATATTGCCAAATTAAATATTAAAATCCCAAAAAAGGTAAAGCGATTTGTTTACAAATTTGATTTAACCGCAAAAATATCTAACGAAAACGCAACATAAATCAACACAACAACAACAAAAGCATTTTAATTGAATGCCTTAACCGAACCACAAACGGATTAGTGTAGGAAAACAATTGGGGTATTCACGATTTTGATATGAAAATGTATGAAAATAAAAATGGGTTTTGTTATGGTTGTGCAATGGCGTTCCTAAACCGCCGGCCCAAAACAAATAAAGCCGCTTAAGCAAACACTACCTCGGCTCATAAAGTAAATCATTATTCAATGAACAAAAAATTGCACAAAATAAAAGAAAAATAATATAATAAAAATACTAATAAAAAAGGAGAAACAATAGAATTATTTTCTAGGAATAAAAAATATTTGTATTTCACTGTTGTTTACACCCAATCTACTACGGCAGGTGTACTTGAAGTATCCGCCGCAAGGTGGCACACAACACCTTTAAGTTAATTTAAAAGTCCCGTTGAATCACTACATACTTATTATTTTTTTTTCTCTAATCTAAATTTTCTTCTTCCTTTTTTCCTTTTTGCAGGTTTACGAATACGAATTGCTGATTTGTTTCTTAAGTTACTAGCCTGTGTTCTATACATTTTACGTGTGATAACGGATACAAATCCAACATTTGCAACATGGTGAGTTGAATGGAGCTTGAATAGAAAGTTGAGAAGAAAAAATCCTGAACAGAAATCAACAAACAAAATTGACTAATCGATTTAACTTTTCGTTCTGCTTTCTTAATTTCTTTTATTTGTTTTTTCCATTTCCTTTTTATCAAAGTTATGGCTGCTCTGTGAGCAACAAGACAGAGTTCCTCGTTTCAGCCCAACTGACGGAGGAGGAATTTCAGGAAAATCCTATTATCAATTGGGAGGCCATTCTGTGGGTAAACCGTCCCACGGTGCTGTGGGCTGTTCAATTAATTTTAGCATTAGTGTCACTAACGGAAGCAGTACTTCTTACATATCTAGGCTACAAGGTCAGTACTAAAACCAACAAAGGCCGGCTTACCAAAATGTTTTGGTATAAGCCAAAGCCGAACACATGCCACATGTGCTATTGGAAGTGTTTCTGCAAACAACATTTTTATGGAATTTTATTGGTATTTACTTAACTATTTTTCTTAATTTTTCGTTTTTTTTTGGTAGGGAAATATTTGGCAACAAATACTCTCGTTTCACTTTATTTTAGAGTTAATTACGACAATACCTTTTGCACTAACGGTGAGTTTATATTCTATTCTCATATAATCATTTTTAATCTGAAAGTTGACTGTATAAATAATATATAAAATCTCCTTGCAGATATTATGTTCGCCTTTAAGAAATCTTTTTATACCAATTTTCCTCAACTGCTGGCTGGCGAAGCGGTCGTTGGAGAATATGTTCGTAAGTAAATTTTTACTTTAATATAAGAGTTAAGTAAAATATTTTAAATTTTATAAGTTTGAATCTTAAGGATTTAAATATTTTAGTTAAATCATTATTTTTAAGGAAATGTAATGGTTTTTATAGTACTAGTAGAACAAAAATATTGACGACATATTTTTTTTGTGAATACAAAATCTCAATGCTAAGAACAACTAATTGATATATAACCATATATATAACTCGTCCATCACTTCTATATGGATATTTAGCGTTTAGCAAGGCCACAAACGGTACTATTCACCAGTTAGAAATTGCACAAAGCCAGGCTCTGAGAAGACTTTTCAAAGTACCATAGTACATTAGGACGAATGACATCCTCAGGGACCTCAAGACTGATCCCATCAAAAAATACATGAAGGATAGAGCCCTGAAATTGTTTACCGCGTTATCAAATTTCAGAATGGTTATAGGCTCCTCGGGGAGGTATGCAGATCTGAGGTCAGTTATTGCTTAGTCTGATGAAGTGATAAACAATAATCCAGTCAAAGCGTAAAGACGGGTTTTGAAAATACCTCGAATTAAGAAAGAGTAAAAGTGCTCAAGTGCACTGGCTCAAATAGCGTCAACATAATATACATGTATATATAAGATTTATTAAAGATCAACTTTTATATAATTTTATAGTGTACCTGCAGTAGACATAAAAAATAGTGCGATGGGTAATTTTTTGGCTTTTGTGATACTCTAACATTTATTTACTAATAAGAAACATTTTATGAAAAATCAGATACGTTTCTTTGATATTGCAAGTAGAAGTAAAAAAGTCTATACAAATTTTTTGAACATTTTCAATTATTACATTTTACAAAGAAATTGAAAAACTGACTATGGTTGGACACAAATTTGAAAAAGTTGTGATAAGTCGATTAGGTTCAAAATACATTCAAAAAAATTTTTGGAATCAATTAGTTTTAACTACTTCATCAGGTCAGAGTATAACAAATGGCAACTTTGAAACTTCAGTCACATTTTTTTTTGTAAAAATTAACTACATAAAATAAATCAAAAATAGTCTTTTAATTGAATTCAAAAAGCCTTTGAAAACACCAATCATGGAAATTTATTATTTTCTTTAATTTTTTTTATATTTTATATCAATTTTGCCTAAATCATAATTTTTAGTTAATATAGATATTGAACCTTTTTTATTTTATTTTCCTTTTTTGTGTTTTGTTTTTTTTATTTGATTTTATTTTATTTTCTTTTATTTTATTTAATTTCATTTTATTAATTTGTTTATTTTATTAAATTTTATTTTTTATTCTTTTGTGTCATTATAATAATTTTTTAATTTACCAAATAAAATTATTTTATTTTATTTCATTTCATTATATTATATATAAAACGATTTTTATTTAACTCAGCTAATTTTATTTCTAAATGACTTAAAATGCATTAGTGTGATGTTAGCACATATAATTAAAACCCCCAAGTAGTTAATGTTAAGACCTAGAACACCTTAGTGTGAATAAGTCTTTTGTGACTCCAGCCATATCACTGTTACTGCTGCAAAGCACTTTTGTGGTGGCTGGAAATAATTTTACATGCCCCACAGCATTTTTGAAAATTTAAGATCCGATTTAGACAAAACAAGTCACTGCTGTGTAAGACAAAATTCGAACTAAAAATAGAGCCTTACCAACTTCAAAGAGACAATACCGATATTCTGATATTCACAAATAAAACTACATTTAATACAGCGAAGAAATAGTTACATATAAATGATTTTGAAAGTAAATTTGTCAAATGTCATTTTGCCTGATATATAAAATCGAGCAAATACTAAAAAAACAAAATAATCACATTTACTTATCAGATAAGTCATACAAAAGTTTAGACTTTCGAATTGGTACTATTTTTGTTGTTAAAATTAATGTGAATTAATCTCAAACCGAGGTCTGTAAAAATTTCAGTGAATAAAAGTACAACAACACACAAACAATGGCTGATATCTAATTTTACGAGAAGCAAACCCTCACAAATTCCCGGTTCAAAACTAAATAAGGGATTAGTATTAAAATATACTAAAACTTTAAGTGCTCAAGAAAACTAATCTCTATAGACAAATAAAAAGACTTAGTCTTACTTACTGTGCAGCGTGTGACTCATTCATAGATTGATTTAGAGCTATAGCATGTACTAAAGGTGATCGATATTTACTAAAGGTGATCGAAATTTTTTTGTGTTTCTCAATATATTTTTGTTATGTTTCAATAAATAATCAAATTAAAATAATAAGCCATTGTGTAAAGTTGTAATTTAATTGAGCATAGTGGCGGCTATAAAGATGAAATTGAAGTTCAACGCCCTCCTCCAACTATATGTTACATACTTTATACTAGATATAATAGATTATTTCCAATTGAACGTTTTCAAATGAACTCTAAATTAATATATAGCAACCTAATTTTATACGTTCCTGATAGGGCTACCCTGTATACACAATTCATTCATTTTTATTTGATATTAATATATATTAACATATGTAATATATAATATATACTTATTTTCATTATCTAAAATCATTTTTTGTTTAATATTTTGCATTATAAATTTATATAATATATATTAACTATATATTACACATTATAAATATTCTATTTTTTATATCTTCATAGAACGATTTGCACCGCGCCATGCAAAAATCTCAGTCCGCCTTGTCTCAGCAATTAACAATTTTATCAGCAACGCTGCTGTGTTTAGTATTTACAAGGTAAGAAATATTTTATTGTAATATTATTGAAGATATATATTTTGACATCAAGTGTAATATTTATATTTAAATTAAATATACACGAATATTTGCAAAAAACTCGAATATTCCACACGTTCTCAATGACAACATCATAAACACATGTCTACCTACATTGCTGTTAAGTGCCTGTTAAGTACGCTGTGCTACGGAATATCAGCAGCACTCATTTCGCATTCACATAAACACTCGTATCGTATGTACATTAACATAGATACTCTCATCCTACATCCGCACACACACTTAACAGTTGTTGGTAATGTGCACGATATTGACTAATGCAAAAACTTGATGTCAATTACGCTGTTAATAATCATAAATTGCGGTAATATGATAATGTAGTCATTATTGTTGTTGGTGATTTTGTTGTTGGTTATTGAGCTTATAATGAAGTTGCAACGTGTGTAGTTGATGAATATTTTGAACACGTCCTTATTAAATTATTGCAGTGTTTGTGGCATTCAACACTTTCAACGCGCAGGCCATCGGCATTTGAATCTCTTCCAGAGCACATATTACGTGGTCGTGACATTCTCAACAGTTGGCTACGGTGACTTTGTGCCCGACATATGGCCCTCACAGCTCTACATGGTGATTATGATATGCGTTGCATTGATTGTCCTGCCCACACAGGTGAGTTAATTAGAAAAATTACAAAATCCAATAAAAACCTGATAAAAAAAGGAATATAAAATAAAATCGTCGTATTCGAAGTATTTACTAAATGTTCATCGTCGTCAATCTATACACAGTTCTCCCACACTGCATGAATAGGTATGCTGTTGGCTAAATGTTTAAGTGGAAATGTACATGATATGCGGTCAGTGTTACATTTTAGTCATGAATGAATGAACTCAATTTAAAACTTAATGTGAATGCATATGACCGCATTTGAGAATAGTTTTGTCAAAAGAACTCCATTTAATTGAAATAAATAGTTCCTGTGAAAGCGATTTAGTGGTCATAAATAAAAGTTTAATTAAGAAACTTAATATATATAAGTGGTGTTTTTATAAAAATCTATAATTCATTAATCAAAAATTGATCGCTATTTAAAACATGTTTCGTTTTTTTATCATAATTCATACAGTTGCAAATCTAAATATTGAAGTATATATTCACACATTATATAGTATGCGTAAAAAGTAAATTGTAACTTTATATTATAAATTATAATTTTTAGAACTCAGGGTAAAAATCACCGTTTTTAAACACCGATTCGCAACGCTTTAGTGGTATACTATACCTAAACCACCACGCTAGCACCCATGTCTGTAATACTATATATTCAGCATTTTTATATTTTTTTCAAAGAGTTTGTAATAAAATTATATATCTTTATCACAATATTGGGTCTATGATGATGTATTACTCTGAGAACAACTATAACATATTATTTTCATATTTAAAAGGTCTTTATCTCAACACTTGAAACGAACTGAATACATTTTTTTACTGAATTTAATCAAACTGATATTATTTAATTATTAAATTTATGGTAAATAAAATATTAATTAAACTATATAATAAGAATAAATTTAATATAAAAAGTATTAGTTATAAATAATATGAAAAGCGAACAACCGCCACGATTTCATTTATCTAACTTGGATAAATTAGAAACAGATTTGAGTATAATCTGTTATCTAGTGTGTTTATATCATATACTTTTACAATTGTACCTTTGACTGTACTGATATCTCTCACATCAATATATTTTCAAGAATCGTTTGCAAAACTGCAAACAAATATGTTCAGCCAAGCTTCATACTAATCTCGCTTAGTCTTTTTATGGCCATAAAAGGCTATTCAATGAAGGACTTAATAGCCATATCGTGATCAGGTTAAGTAAACCTAATTGAAAAAATTAAATCATATGCTATCATAGCAGTACTCCACTCGATGGGATCTATGTTATAAATTAGTCATATGTATATCTATTATGATTGATCTATATAATATATGAGTTATGATTTATAAAATAATTTGTGTTTGATTGATTATAATCCCAAATAGTCTTTTGCACATAATATATGTATTATATATAACAAAATAGTAATGTTTTGCTTTTTTTACTCTGACTAATTATGGTTCTTATTTACTTAAAAATAAACAAATTCATTAAATTTAATTTGTAAAAAATTAAATTATAAAATAATACCAGTGGCTTGCCATTCTATATAAATTATTTTTAAGTATACGAATAAAAAATATACAAAAGTCAATCATTTTAATCCATGGATTTTTGTTTTGGTCATTGCAAAACTATTATTTATGTTGGTTTAATTTTTAAAATAATAATGAATAAATAATTTTAAAAGTTGAAAGAATTTATGATTACACATGTAGTATTTATATATTTCCATATAGAAAATACAAATATTTACATTAAGTCTGCAATTTATTTTGAATTACGATTTTTAATAAAAATTTAAAAATACATCAACAAATTTTCATTGTAAAGTATGTGAAAATTAAAACAAAATTTAACCAAGTTTCAAAATAAATAATAACAATAAATATAAATAAATTTAAAGTTAATATACTACATAATATATAACATATATAACATATTATACTACAATGTACTACATGCTATTGCTTATGTTTGTATATTTTATTAAGACTATTTTAAGGTATTACAATAGATTAAACTAAGATACTTTCGGTAGTTAAAATAAACTATATTATTCCTATAAAACATATACAAATAGATAGAATGGGAAATTTATTTTTATTCGATTAAATGATTGCACGTTTCAATGGCGTATTCAGGGCTGAAAAGCGAGTTAAACCTTAAAAGCATATATCTCCCACTTGATAATATTTAAAAATAACACAAACTTTAGAAATCTGTCATGTTCTCTCTTGAGTTTTATATTTAAACACTAATATAAACTAGAAATTTTAATAATGAAATACCGGAAACATTGCAGAACCTTATCAATAAATTACTGTCGTTAGATTTAATTTTTAAGCTAGAATTATATTTAAATGAAACTTCTAAAAATAATATTGTTGGGAATATTACTTTCTGCATACGTAAATAACGTATGCATTGATGTACATATAAATAAAACAGCTGCTATTTTTTATAATAAATAATATATATCATATATTGTGGGGCGTTGGAATAGCGCAACGTCCATCAAGTGACCCTACTCAATTGAAATACTAGCCGAAGTAGACCACAAAACGACTTGGTTGCTTTTTCGTCCTTCGGATGTTGTTATTGAGTTAAAGCTAAAATGGCTTCCGTTCGTATGACTACATCTCTTCTTATTGTAAGCAGCACATTTAGCTTGAGGTAGCCTACCAAATCATCACCAACTCAATAGTGTCTTAAGACAGTTACCTCTTCTGCTTGCTAATGCTGAACATTGGCACAATATATCCATCGCTAATTCCTTTTCTTTCAGACAGAGTTTTCAACTGTCTTCCTCAATAAGAATTATAAGGTATATGAGTGATACTTCAAGTTTCCATATTCAGTATTCAAGGATGTTAGGCATCTTAGTGTGCTCTGCGGATAGCTAAGCACTTTTATCGCTTCGCAGGCAAACGGTTATGGTAACATGAGTTTAGTCTGTCTACAAGTGCTCATCTCTCTCCATCTGTTAAGAAGAAGTAAATCTATCCACATAGACTGCAGTCATGTTATAGCTCAATAGTAAATTATGGCTTGATTTTTACAAAAATAAACAGATAAACTTGCAAAGTTTATTGCTATTTTAAAACTAACAAAAATAATTAATTAACTTTTTGAAATATGCTTGATATTTTAATGCTTTTAAATTAGAAGTTGGTACATAAATAAGTTTTAATTTTTAATTAGCATACCTTAATGATTTTATTTATATAAATTCAATTTATTGTTGTTTCACAAACTTCTTCCAGATATAATTATCAATTAATTTTTAGAAATTTGAATTAAATTTCTGAACTCATTCGCGATATTCTAAGCAATTTATAAATAGTAAATATGCAAAATGCAGTAGATTCACAGAAGTAAATTTAGTTCACTTCTCACTCTCCATGTGATTGACATTGACTTTTATTGCAAAAATACTAAAAACAAAACAATAAAAAAAATTTTTAAACAAAAAGAATGGATGTTTAGTATCAATCAATTTTTACGAGTTTAGTTCAAATGTCACTTCCGAAGTCAAAAAGTTGATCTCAACTACGATAGTCGACAAAAATTTGTTTAAATCCATTTGAATAAGTGTTTTTATAAAAGAGTGCATGGTACATGTAGCAACCCAAGTATCAGTAAATAAATCATCATTTCTGGAACACATGCAATAGAAATTGATTTACTTTCATGTTCGATACTAAAAATAAATATTTCTATTTGTAACTGGATTAAATTTATTGCAGTTTGAACAATTAGCGTTCACATGGATGGAACGTCAAAAGCTGGGAGGAAGTTACTCATCACATCGAGCGCAAAGCGAAAAACATGTGGTCGTTTGCTCAACAACGCTCCATGCTGACACGATAATGGACTTCCTTAACGAGTTTTACGCACATCCGCTGCTGCAAGATTACTATGTAGTCCTACTAAGTCCGATGGAATTAGATACGACGATGCGTATGATATTGCAGGTGCCGATTTGGGCGCAACGTGTCATATACATTCAGGTAATAGGAAGATAAAAGGATGGGAAGACTAAGACTAACTTTAAATAAAAAAATAAGTAAAAATCAAATGAATATATCAATCGAATTTTATTCGAATTTCAAAAAAAAAAAAAAAATTATTAACAACAGAGCGATTTTAGCATTACAAATTAGTTACATTAACAATTTTTTATGAGTACACATAATTTTTTCATTTTACACACGAAATTTATAATTCCGTAGCATTAACTTATAAAAATGTAAAATTGGTTTCCATTAAGTTTAAAATGTGCCTATTTATTTGAATTTGAATAGGGATCGTGCCTAAAGGACGGCGATTTGGCACGTGCACGCATGAATGAGGCGGAAGCCTGCTTCATTTTGGCAGCGAGGAATTATGCGGATAAGACTGCAGCCGACGAACACACAATTTTGCGCTCGTGGGCGGTTAAGGACTTTGCCCCAAATGTACCGCAGTATGTACAAATATTTCGGTGAGTTTGCATTGTTCAATAAATCATTCGATTTGTTTACAAATTTATAAATTGCAAATACTTTTCAATATTTTACAAAGCAATATCTTCTAAAAAGGAAATAAAATTTTTTATTTTAATAATAGAATATAGGGAAGATTAATTTAGAAATATATATAAACCTTATTTATCTTAATATAACAAAAATTTTAAAAATATATACCTAAAACAATTTAAATTATAATTGTTTAAACTCTAGAACCCAATTTAGTTTTATATTATTCTACTTTATATACACACCAACTCTAGACTCTAAAACCTAACTGAATATCATGTTATTCTAGGCTTTATGCATACCAAGGCACCTCTGACCGAAAAAACGTCACAAAGTAATAGAGTTTTCGTTTAGTATATATATTTCATTAGGAAGATAAGCTGGGCTTCAAAGCATATTTCTATAATGTCATCTGAATTACTTATCATAATTTAACGAATCTCTTATTACAGTGAATCATCTAAATGGTCACAGACAGTATTGAGTAAAGTGCTTTAGACACTAACTAGCGTTTGATTAGGCAAGGAAGAAGAAGATTGGTAAATCTAGATTCCATTTATATTAACTCTTGACCTGTTAAATTTTGTTGTCCAACCGAACGTTTTTAAAGTAACTCAAATATTTATATTTTTCATAAATATATGTTTATATATCGAATGAAATCAAACTTTATCTGTCAAGTCATATAAAAACGATGTTAATATTAGGGTAATCTTGCTACTCTGGTAAAATATCAATAGTGTTGTAAATTATACAACGATACGAATATGATGTAATTAATATAATATATAATGTGCAGTGAAAGAAGGATCCAGCTCTTCATGGAATATTAATTTAACATATAAATAATTATCGGATCTAATTAGTTGTAAAGATTAAATATATTTCACATTATGAAACCAGGAATTCGACAAGAATAGAATTCATACTCTATGTTTTAGGAAAAATTATTAGAAACGTTATTTACCTTAAATAATTTAAAGGTAAAAAGTATACCTAATAGCTGGTCATGTGCTTTTAACGCTTTAGAAATCGTATAAACAGAAAATTTAAAGTCCCCTTTTGTTTTAACATCTATGTACTACGCCGGTCTAAATATTGCAATTGAAGTAAAAATGAAAGCTTTTCTGCGCTAGTAACTTAAAAATTTTGAAATAATATTTAATTACATATTTAAACTTAAATTTAAATTTAAATCAAAATTCTGTCTATTCCCTTATTCTTAATATTCAAATTGATACAATTTTCTACCAGAGGTGGTACTATTAAAAATAATAATCCTCTAAGAGGATTATCGACATAAACTTTCCTCCTACGCAATTATACTTACAAAAATTAACTAATTAATTAATTTTTTCAACACACTTCTCACTTTAATTAAAAAATTAATCGTCGTAAAAATTAATACTAATATTTTTAATTTAATTTAAAATTAAAATGTTGTTTTGTGAAGTATATTCTTGGAAGTGCATAAATAGTAATAACCATAATTAAATTAATTATTGAAAATAATAACAATTTACATATTTTCTGCAATCCTGTTGAAAAATCTAATAATCAATAGCACTTATCAAGTTTATTAGTGAAGCAACTAATTAAGTAAACATTTTATATTTAAATTTTATATTAAAAAACTCATATTTGCTTGCACTTTGAATATTTTTTTATCTGAAGTAAAAGCATTTTTTCACGCTTTTCGCATTTGTTAATTTCACGCTTAACTCTAATGAAATCAACCGTGGATGACCAATCTTCTGACACTGACTGCCATGCACGGAACACAGGCCGGAGCACAAACTGCATGTAAAGTTCGCCGAACATGTGGTCTGCGAGGATGAGTTCAAGTATGCGCTTCTCGCAAACAACTGCACTTGCCCGGGTGCGAGTACCCTGGTTACATTATTGCTGCACACATCACGGGGGCAGTAAGTATTATTCAATTAACTTTTATTTACACATGTACGTTAGCCCGCATGTAAGTAAATGTGGGACCCATTTACTTGCGTGGGTTGCGGGTAAGCACAACACAACCTATAAGGATAGCTAAACATTTTTTCATGTGACTTCCTTCCTTTGAAAAATTAAAATTGTTGCTATTTGCTTTTCATTTCATGAAGAATAGTAAAATTACCTTGTAAAGCGTGCACTCCACGATCCCTCTGAAAAATAGATTATTTACATTATATCTTGTGACATTTTATTTGTTAAAAAAGCATTTACCTCCACAGTACTTCCCCGAGGGAAAAATGTATTACACAGAAAACTCTCTGTTTACTACCTTTTTAATTTGGTAAAATGAACTATTTTTTCTACGTCTTCTGACTTAAATTCCGACATTGCGTAACGCCTATTATTTACCTTAGGCGAATTTGGCTTTGCAACTGTTGCTTCTGTTTTTTATGCGTTCATGTTTCAAGTAATTGACCATGAACTGCAAAGGACCCAGAAAAAACAGCTTAACACCCTCATTAAAGACATGACATAACAAAAATAATATTTGGGTTTTGTACTATAATAGAAATTTAACATGAAATTGCAGTAATTAACAATTTGAGTTACTTTTTTTGTGAATCAAATTTCACTTACCAATGTCATTAGAACCACTCCATTGGGATTTTGACGGACGTATGACACACATTTTATTTCAGCCTAACAGTATCTTTTCTTATTTGGGACAACGTTAAATACCGTCATGGGCTGTTCAGTGAATTAAGCTTATAAGAAATTGAATATTAAATTAAATAAATATTTTAATGCACAACAGGGAAGGCCAACAATCACCGGAAGAGTGGCATCGACTGTATGGGAAATGTTCCGGCAACGAAATCTATCACATCGTTTTAGGTGATAGCCGTTTTTTTGGTGAATATGAGGGAAAGAGTTTCACCTATGCGAGTTTTCATTCTCATCGGAAGTAAGTACAACTTTTTTATATAAGCATTAATACAAATATACACAAATGACATTAAATACTTAGAACTGATTAATACATAATTTTTGTAGACAAAGATAAGAAACAATTAAAGATACATATGTATAAATAATTTTTCTTTAATTTTTTTTTTGTGTATCGAGTGATATATATTCAAATATTTAATTTTCAATATCAATAAAAAATTAATGCGCTTTATGTTTAGTCACGTAATCAAAAATATACTTCCAGTGGAGATTACAGAGTAAAAACTCAAAAATTTTCAAAATTATCACTGAGATATTTTTTTCTATAAAAAATCCATGACTTCATCTGAATCTATTGCAGTATGCCATAGAAACATAGCTATAATAAGCGCACTGAGTCTATAATAGCCAAATACATTTTATGGTAGAGTTTTTATTTTTTTTCATGACAGAAAATGATGTATCAACGTTGGCTATTGTAATAATTTAAATAGCTCTATTACTATGCGTTAATATTTTTAATACCTTAGTAGAGAAATCAATCTTTCAAACCGTCATTAGTTCAGACAAAGACATATTATTATGGAGGTAGAGCTCATCAATTTAATTAAGAGTAAGTCTTAGTTTCTCCACAAAAAAAATGTCTTAAGAGCAATTGTTTTTCTTTTAAACGAATACTAGGTGGATTAACAACTAGCTGACGTCACAACGCCAGAGAAAATCAATTATATTTTATATGCCTAGCAAGTTCTAAAACACAGCTGTAAAAATTTCGACTTCATTAGATGTTTGGTTAGCTATTTGTAAATAATTGAAATAGTGCACCTTGGTAACCTTTTACAAAATGGAAGAATTTGAATATCGTTCAGTAATAAAATTTGTCTATTTGAAAAGAAAAAACAATGAAAATGGATTCTGTTTACGGCAAACTTGCATCATCGTTAACAACAATAAAATATTGGAAAACTGAATTTAAACGTAGTCTTACGAGTGATTGCTCTTTGAAGAAGAGCGTCTGGGTCGTCCAAAACAGGTCAGAACAACAGAGAATGTAAAGAATATTGAAAAAATTGTGTTATTCACGATATCGTGTTGGATGATCCACAAATTAAAATGCGTGAGATAGTGGATATGACAACCATATCATATGAACATATATCAAATATTTTACAGGATATCCATCTTCCGACAAGATGGGTGCCTCGTTTGCTAACAATTGACCAAAAACGACAACGACTTCATCATTCAAAACATTGTTTGGAAATGTTTATGCACAATTTAGCGAACTATGAGCATCGGGTAATGATAATTGATAAAATATGGACCCATTACTTCACACCTGATGGAAAACAACAGGCCAGTCAGGGTAGAGTCCGGGGGTGGTGCTCCCAAACGACCACGAACTCAACAATCGGCTGGAATAGTTTAGCTTCCGTGTTTTGAGATTCAAGTAAAATAATTTTCATAAACTATTTGGAGAAAGGAAAAGCAATAACATCAGACTACTATTGCATATTATTGGAACGATTAATGAGGAAATGGGGAAAAAACGATCACATTTGTAAAAGAAAAAAATGTTGTTTTTGCAGATTAACGCAACCGATCACACGTCAATCAATTTATTGAAATCAAATTAAATAAATTATGGAACGAATAGCTTTTTCACCCACCATATTCTTCAGATTTCGCTCCCCAGTGACTATTACGTGTTTCTAAACTTAAAAAGATGGCTCCAGGGAAAGAGATTTGTATCAAATGATGAAGGGGAATGGGAAACTGAGATATATTTTGGAGGACTTGATAAATCGTATTCCCTAAAAAGGATCCAAATGTTGAGAGATCGTTCAGTGTGTGTGTCGAACTAAAGCGTTAAAGCATAAAATATAATTGTTATAATCTAGTATGTTTTGCATTAGTTTAAGCAATCTTAAATAATGAAATGTAAACAAAATTTAGTTAAATATAAACTGTCAATCTTGTCGGTTGTATTTACTTCAGTTGGCGACGAGGATAAAAATCTGCAATTATTCAATCGCTTTCACGCTTATTTCGTACCGTTCAATTTTACATACAATCATGCCGGGCGAAAGTGAAATTTATAAGCAATTGCTTAAAGAACAACAAGAGTTCTCAAAAAATTTACTGAAACAACAACGTGAGTGGATGGACTCAATGTTCCAAAAACAAGGTACTGCCGGTGTATCTGAAAGAAATCACAACATTGTTCCAGTATTTCACAAATTTTCGAAAGAACAGCAAACCTGGGAATCGTACTTAGAACAACTTAACCAACATTTTTTAGCATATTCAGTTCAGTGCAGTGAAAAACAAAAATCATTTTTCTTGTCTTGGATTGGCACAGAAAATTTTGAGCTGCTAAAAAATCTTTTCGGTAACACGAAAGTACAAGAACAATCTTTCGAAAATTTAACGGAAAAACTTACGGATCATTTCCAGTCGAAACGACATGTGGTCGCTGCACGTTACGATTTTTTCAAAAGGGAAATGAAGCCACATCAATCATATAGAGAGTGGGTAGCCGATCTCCGCGGATTGGCAAGACAGTGTAACTTTTCGTGCTCAGCCCAGAATTGTTTACACAATTTCGTGGATGATATGATTCGTGACCAAATTATTATACGTACACCTCACGATGCTGTGCGCACGGCTGCGTTCCAAAAGCCCCAGCCAACACTTGCTGATGTTTTACAGATTGCAGAATTGTACGAAACAACCACTAAAACGGTGGCAACAATTAAAGAACAAACGATCGAAAACTCAATGCCTGTTAATTCAGTTGGTACAATTATAAAAAAACCGGGTGTTTTCAACAATAACAATAATAAAGTAAAATTCAAATCATGTTCTGGCTGTGGAAACTCTCATGCAAGAGAAAACTGTAAATTTAGAAATGCTGTATGCAATAGATGTAGCAAAATTGGACATATTGCGCCAGTGTGCATGTCAAAACAAAACAAGAACTACAAACGTAATTCAGGTGATGAAAACAAGAAGAAAGATTACCGTCGTAAAAGTCACAACATTGGTACTGTTGAAACAATTAACAGTTTAACAGGTATTGTAAAAACTGAAAGCAATAAGAATTACATTGACTTGGAAATTTGTAATAAAATTGTGTCTTTCCAAATGGATTCTGGTGCAACAGTTTCTCTAATAAATAAGCGAACATTCAAAACTCTAAATTGCCCAAAGTTGCGGAATTGTACAAAAACCTTATTTGGTTTTGGCAAAAATGAAATTCCAGTGCTTGGTGAACTTTGCGTAGATATCAAATGTGGCGGAAAAGAAAGGGAAGTGGTAATCGTTGTCGTGGATGTCGAAAACTGTAACAATTTATTCGGTTTCGATTTATTCAAAGAATTCGGGTTTGAGATTCAACAAATTTGTAACATTACTGAAAGTGAATCACACAGAATTAGCGAGCTGTGTAAGAAATATGGTGATATTTTTGAACCAGCTCTTGGCACAATAAAAAACTTTAAGGTCAGTATTTTTTTAAAGCCAAATGCACATCCGAAATTTTACAAAAGCCGACAAATTCCATTTTCGCAAATGTCACTTTTCAAGAAAGAAGTCGATCGATTGACAAATGCGGGTATTTGGAAACCTGTGAAGTTTTCCCAATGGGCTTCGCCTATTGTACTAGCTCCAAAAGCTGATGGTTCCATAAGAATTTGTGGGGATTTTAAACAAGCAGTCAATGCGCAAATTGACATTGAACAATATCCTTTGCCCATACGCGAAAGTCTTTTCCATAAAATTAATTGCGGTCAACATTTTACAAAAATCGACCTTAAGGATGCGTATTTACAAATGGAACTCGACGATGAAGCAAAAACAATAATGGTTGTCAACACTCCACTTGGGTTATTCCAATACCAACGTTTACCGTTTGGAATTGCAAGCGCTCCAGCTATATTCCAAAGATATCTTGAGCAGTTACTTCAAGGCGTAGAAGGTTGCGGTAATTATCTCGATGACATCATCATCTCCGCACCTACATTCCAACAACACATCAGCCGCCTAGAACAAGTACTTCGTATTTTGCAACAAAATGGTATCAGGTGCAAGCAAGAAAAATGTTTCTTTCTGCGAGATAAAATCGAATATCTCGGGCGTCAAATTAGTGCAAAAGGTATATTGCCAGATGAGTCAGGACTAAAAGCAGTCAAAAACCTGCAGCCGCCTAAAGATCTAAAGCAAGCAGAAGCATTCATGGGTAAGGTAAACTACTACCATAATTTTATACCTAATTTTTCGCAATTATCCGCGCCAATCAACATGCTGCGCCGAAAAAATGTTAAATTCACATGGGGTACAGCACAACAACAAGCATTTATAGCTCTTAAAACGCATATTCTCAATGCAGCGCAATTAGCACATTATCAGGAAGATTTACCGTTGGTTCTAGCTACAGATGCCTCCTCCTATGGCATAGGAGTCGTGCTCTCGCATACGTACGTTGACGGTACAGAAAGGCCTATTGCTTTTGCATCTAAAACTCTCGACATTCATCAACGACGATATAGTCAGATAGAGAAGGAAGGGCTAGCTATCGTTTTTGGAGTCAAGCGTTTCCATCAATATTTATACGGAAGAAGATTCACCTTGGTTACTGACCACAAACCTCTTGTTAGCATTTTTAATCCAATTCAGCAGTTGCCGTCGATGACGTCACATCGTTTACAGCGATGGGCTATTATACTAATGGCTTATCAGTATGATGTTCGGTATCGTAAAACTACTGAGCATGGAAATGCCGATGCTTTATCTCGTTTACCTGTTGGTGAAGATAAAACTTTTGATCATGAGGAATCCTGTTTCAACATCAATGAACTTAACACACCTATCGACGCTGAAATAATTCGTCAGCATGCCAAAAATGACCCAATTCTTCGCCGAGTTTATTTTCTCGTTACAAACGGTTGGCCTGAAAAGCTAATGCCTCAAGATGCTGATCTTCGATCATTTTTCAATCATCGCTTTGCTTTAATACTACACAATAATTTGCTTTGCCTCCAGACGGAGTACAACCGGGTTGTCATTCCAGCCTCCCTTAAGCAGAAAGTTCTTAAACTTCTTCATGATGGTCATTGGGGAGTATCGAGAATGAAACAGCTAGCTCGACAACATGTCTGGTGGACTAATATTGACAAAAACATCGCACAATTAACTGAAAATTGTGATGTGTGCAAAATTGCAAATCCTGTTCACGCACGTGAATACTTAAGCTGGCCTGAAGCTGATCGACCTTGGGAGAGAGTACATATCGACTTTGCTGGTCCATTTTGTAATTCAATGTGGCTAATTTGTGTCGACGCTTTCTCGCAATTTCCGTTCGTTGTACAACTATCTACAACAACAACGGTTGACACTATATCAGCATTGTCTTCTATATTTTCTCTGGAAGGTTTACCAGAAACCATCGTAAGTGACAATGGTCCGCAATTTACAGCTGAAGCATTCAAACATTTTTGCTCAAAACTTGGCATCAAACATATAACAACAGCGCCGTTTCACCCAGCCTCAAACGGGTTAGCCGAACGATTCGTCAGATCTTTTAAAACTGCTGTTCAGAAAAACATTGACGATGGATTGTCTCTCAAATTCGCTGTATCAAAATATCTTGCAACATATCGTGCAATGCCGAATGCTGAGGGTAAATCACCTGCAGAACTTTTACATGGAAGGCCTGTTCGTACCTTGTTGAGTCAACTGTTTGAATCGCCTAGGAAGCACCTTGAAGCTTCGAAACGGAAAATGAAATTCAGTCTAAAGCAACCCGTCTTCGCTCGAAACTACGCAAGAGGGGAAAAATGGATAAAAGGAGTTATTGTGAAACAACTTGGTAAAATGGTTTACCGAGTGAACACATCTTTTGGTTACATCAAACGTCACGTTAATCAGCTTAAAACTAGAAGTAGCTTTGACCTGTCTTCACAACCAATTTTTGAATTCACTCCAAATTTCATCAATGCCACACCGCCTTCATCTAGCCAATCAACATTAATGCCTAGTGAAGAACGTTCTACCGAAGTAGTTCAACTTCGAAAAAGTGGTCGTATTCGGAAGGTTGTTAATCGATTTGAATCCGACGATTTCAGGAAAACTTGAACTTTGTCAAAAATTAAGGGCGGAGAAAGTGTTATAATCTAGTATGTTTTGCATTAGTTTAAGCAATCTTAAATAATGAAATGTAAACAAAATTTAGTTAAATATAAACTGTCAATCTTGTCGGTTGTATTTACTTCAATAATTTTCCAAAAAAAATCCGTTTTTATTACTTAGACCGGGTATTCATCAATCCACCTAGTATATGAGTAAAGAAACATTTAAAACGTTTCAGTAATTACTACATTGTATTACTCATATAATAATGTAGTGAGCTAAATATCAATTATGATTACATACTTTTTGTTTATAATGGAAAACGGTCATTAAGGTTATCTGTACTTCTTATAAATTACTGTAAACTAATATTATTAGTCCTTGCTACTGTAGGTATGTATCTTTACATTATTAAGAGTTTAATTTATTTGCGTGCAGTTTACTATGAATATTAAATTAGTTTTAGTAAATATTAGCTACAGACTTTTATTAATTAAGTATAAAATAATATGTAATTACTAATTTACATAACAAAACTAATACTAAAAACAATAAACTTAAATGTATTTTTGTAATTATTTTTTTTTATCTAAATCAAAGAAAAGATTATTAAGTGTACTTGTTTAGTGAACTATATTTTTATTATTAAATTCTTTTTATTATTAAATTTTTTTAATAAAAACTAAAAACATTTAAATTTTTTAAAGTGAAATAAAAATTCCTTTATACTATATAAATTTGTTATACAACATTTTTATATAATAATTGATAAATAAAAAATCGAATTTAATTTCATTGCATTCATTACTTGTTTAATCAACTACATTTTGAATATTTAAATTATATATTAATTTTTTTTTAACTAAAAATTAAAACACTTAAATTTTTTAAAGTGAAATAATAATTCTTTAACACTTTATAAATTTTTTATACATTTTTATACAATAAATGATAAATAAAAATTAGAAGAAAATTTAAATTTAATTTCATTTTCTTCAACCTTTGACTCGTTTCGGTCATTTTTAGATATGGCGTCGCATTGGTTGGTGTACGTCCGGCTGAGCTTCCGGAATTTTATGAGGATACAATACTTCTTAATCCCGGACCGCGACACATTATGAAGAAGGATGACACATGTTACTACATGAGCATAACAAAGGAAGAAAATTCAGCATTCGTCGTTAATCAAAATCAAAATCAAAATGCGGACCCGGCAACGGGCAAAGATGGTGGTATGTTAAACAAATTCAGTCTATATCTTTAAAGTCTTATTGAAATGTTTTATGTTTGGAACATGAAATTTATATGCAAATTATCAAAAGAACAACAATTTTAATTTAATCTTACAGATACGCTTTTATTGTGTGTGCGTTTTTATGTTCGTTCGATGAAGTTGCTTTAATTTTTTAATTGAAATTTCTTTTCGAAATATTATAAGATCTGTTCTCTTTGGTTCTGTTCCGTTTTGCCTCTATTTCTACTCTATTTCTAAATTTTCCATTAATTACTGCTTTTGTTAAACTTTTAAGAGTTCTTTTACGTTTTTAAAAAGTTCTTTTTTAATCGACTTACACCTGCAAGTATTGTATTTAAAACGAGTGAACTACTTAAGTTTGTTCATCTTAAAAAAGATCTATGAACTCAAGTAAATGTTAATTTTGAATTACAATTTATTTTAATTTTATTCCCAAAATTAATTAATTTTATTTGGTCTTATATATATAAAGTAATTTTATATTTTAATTAAATTATTTTTATATAATTTTTTTTCGTTTGTGTTGAGATCACTAAATTTAATTTTCAGGCACTTCATATGTAAGTGTACATTAGTTCCTTTGTTATGATTTTATATTATCAAATATATGCAAATTTTACTTAATGGAAAGAAATATAATTCCAATACAACACTTAAAATTATGCAGTTGTAAAATGTATACACTCTTGTGATGGGATGCAACACTCTACATATTAACACCCTGTATTGCAGTGTCCTTCTATGTGTACCTATTTTCACAAAAGTATATATCTTAACATTATGATTAAGAAAACAATTTACTCTTACATATTAAACCATATTAAATACTTGAGAAAACAAAACTATTATGTTTAAGCTTATGAAGCTGTTTCATATGTAGCACAAAAATTAAGACTTTCCCAGTAAAACATTACTAGATCCATCTACAGTAGAGCAGAGTAGAGTGGAGTGTTTAATTCAAATATATTAAAATATAAATAAAGCACTTATAAAGACTTTAGCAAAAAAAGAAGAAAAAAGCATTTCACAATTTTTATAGGTATTTAAAACTATTTAACTTTAATAGGTCCATATAGGTCCTTAAGTAGTGTGGTGCTTATAAAAATTATACACAAAATGTATATACTATGGACGTATGCGAGTTAGGCTAAGTTGCGTTCTAAATAAGGAAAATTCTAAGTTGAGCCGATAATATAGTGATGTGTCGATACGTGTTGATAAATGGCTAAATGTGTGCAGTGCAAAAAATCCCAAAAAATCTCCCATTTGATTTAGCATCAATTTAGCCTAACTCACAAACGTCCTATGTACCATATATAATTTTTAAAATGTTAACGTATAAATTATATATTTATCCACGAATATCACAATAACAAATATTACAATGACGATATTTCTTTGAATTCTCATATGTTTTTCAACACAGCGATCAAAATCATAGAAATGTTTCTAATTTTTACTCTGATATTAACTACAGCCGCTTGCTACAGTAGGTCGCTAACTGTTGTTAACATTTTTTTATTTGTAGTGCTGCCAGCGTGTCATCTTACGGACTATTCCGCCGATATTTTAAATATATGGAATATATTACCTAGCGACTGTAGCTTAATCATAGAGATTATAGTACTATAGAAATCCATTTGCTTAGCTTTATTTTTGGTATTTCTAGCTACTGTAGATTGATCGTGTATTGGACATTAATTCCAAGTATCAGTACAATCAGTTTATAACAGTGTTTATAGTACAGTTTCTGGAAAAAGAGATATTTATATAAGGATATTAATATAAATAATTTGTGTTAATAATAAATATTCTTGCAAATAATAAGCGTAAGATAAATGTATGAAATCATATATGTCATTTTCGTTTTAACCGAAATAAATTATTAAAACTAAATTATATACCCATATATATAACTTTAATTCAATATAAAGTCGATGAAGAGGTAATCTCGTGCATTATTCGTAATTTTCAAACTTGAAAGAGATAAAGATTAACTTAAAAAATTTGTTTTTTAAGATTTCAAATGAGTCAAAAGCTTCAACTTTAATTTGATATTTCATTTATAAGAAATATAAGACTAATAGAATCAAATAGAACAGATACTTTTTATTCGTGTCCTTATTTTATATTTAATTAATAATAATTTGCTGCTAAAAGTATAAATGGTGGTATTTATTTGTAAGCAGCAAAGTTTTAACTCATCACCTTGACCAAAGTTAAATCATATTTTACATCTTTGTTTAATTACTTAATTTACTTAATTAATTAGTTTACTTTACATAGCATCGCATAACCAAAAAGAAAATTTAATGTGAGGAGAACTCACCAACTACAATTTACAATATACAGGTTTTCATATTCATCAAAAGCAAAAACAATTTGATAATTGAAGTGACCATGACTATCTGCATAACTTAACCCTCACAGACTCTAACTAAAAAGAAGACATTTAGCCCTACGTATGAGAACGAAAATATGATCCGTTAAGATTTATTCTAAAATCAGGCGATGAAAAGAAGTTTTGAGTTACTATTCTCATTTAGATATAGATACAAGTTAGACAGTAAGTATAACAAAGATTATGATTAGAGATATTAGCTGCTGATAAGCACAGCTGATATTATCTTTCCTTTAGTGACCTATTCGTTCATTCTCAACTCTGTTATAAAAAATAGAAATGCCTGAACTTAGTTATAGGACAGAATCTGCTTTTTGGTTTGACAGTTATCTGAAGTGTCGTAATGATAGCAATTTGTTTCAACTAAAATGTATTTTTTTTTCAAAAACCAAAACGAAGATAAAAACTCTCTCATCCACAAACATAAAAGGTGTATGGAGTCATAAAAATATATAACTTGTTTTAATTGAATAATTAATTAATTATTAAAAAATTCTGATAGGGAGCAGGGGATCATTTTTTGTTCTTAAAAATTTTAAGAAACAAATTTAAAATAAAAAAAATTTGATTTATATTTGTAATTTATTTTAAATAATTAGCTTATAATAAAGATACGTGGATTAGAATAGAGTAGACGTCTATATTAGTCATCGCCGTAAGTTCTTAACTTATATATGATAGGATATTGTAAAATGAATTTATATAAATTTCTAAATAAAGAACTTACAAACTAAAAAAGAAAAAAGAAATCAATTATTCAATATTTCTAGATACCAGTTAATACTATTCAAACATAATTAATGTTAATTTTTTCTTGCCGATATTGACACGTCTTTATGATAATTAATTTTTTAAAACTTCTTGACACCCTTATAATTATTTAAAAAAAATATATATTATAAACATATTATCGTTAATTGAAAATTACGATTACACTAATAAACATTTAACAAGTGATATTTCTACTACTCACACAAGATCCTCTTTTAGAATCCTCTTCTACAATTTGCATACCATATGTACGAATATAAATCTTTTTTATATAATAAATTTTCTTTTTCAATTTCATATATTGAATGTTTATAAAATTTTAAATTGAATTAAGTTAAAACAACATTAATAAACAACAACAACACTACAACCACTCTGTCCACTATGAATACCAATGTAGCAACAACAATATCAACAATAACAACAACAACAGCACATGCGGCCCCAGTGCCGTCCGTTTGTGTACGTGTGCCACATAGTCCGAGTTTTGACTCTGGTGCGGATACACCTATTGAAAGGCGTTTATCCGATAGTGAATTTACAACACTTTTTGTGCGTGAGTGTGACACAAGATCTTTATAATTTTGTTTAAATATTTTTCTCTCGCTCTTCCACACCTTGATCACCTATCTCTCTCTTTCTTTTTCTCTTTGTTATCTTATAAGACCCGCACTACACCATCCCAAAAAAAAAAAATTTCATTGCTCAACTATAATTTTACTTATTGTGCTTCCCTCCACAACCTTTTTTTATACTTATTTTTGCCTAGAATTTGCTATGTTCAGTGTATGTTCAGTGCATTTAACGAGCGTCCTTTTTAGAGTGTAAATAATTAATTCTAACATATTTTAGTATCCGTTGCATGTTGCAAGCCTTTGCTTGTTTTTGTTTTTGTTTTTTGCGTTATTTGTTATTGTAAATGTAAAACATGAATTTTGTTGTTGTAATAATGAACTACAAAGAATGTCACTTAGTTATTTTATTAAAAGTAATTAATTTTTTTAAAAAGCAAATATTGTGCATGTCACCTTTAATGGAAACTGAAGTTAAATTGATTAGTGCATGTAAGCCACATTCACATTGAGCACGCAATGCCGAGTGTAGCGTACACTAGAAGTAGTAGAATTGCTTTTGTGGAAATTTCACAGAAGTTGATGGCTGGGCTGCACTGTTAATTAACTGTGTACTTTGCCAGTCATGTCCTGATTAAAATGTCAATATTGAAATGTGTTTTTACTGCTGATGGCTTTCTGTGGTGAAATTGGTTGACTGTGAAACAAAAAGTTGGCCATTGGCGACATCTGCAACTCAAATTTGTCAATCATTAACTGCTTTAAATAAGAAAATTTATGCTGTCAAATATACGAAATTCGCATAATTAAAATACAAAAATCAAAAAGAAAAAATAATAAAAAATTAAATTGAAATTGGTATTATGGCAGAAATGCATTTAAGTTTGTTTTTCATAAAAACCCAAGTGCAAACATAAACTGCAGTTTGACAGGATTCTTTCACATATATATATATATATATATATTTCATATATCATATACTTCATATATCGTATGTATGTATTTTATGTATATATTGAAAATTGGTTGTAATAAAGTTTATTGAAATATGGTATTTAAAAAGTATCAACAGTTTTTATATTCGCTCGTAAATATTTCTACAAAAAAAAAATTAAAATATCTTTTTCTTTATTATTTTAAGCGATAGTAAAGTATCTTTTTAATTATTATTTTAATCGATACTAAAATATTTTTTTCATTATTACTTTAATGAATAGTAAAATTTTTAATCAATAGTTTACTCAACTTTAAAATTCATTGTTTGTTCATTTTTCTATAAAAGCTATATACTGTTAATGACAAAACTAGAACAAATTTGCGACTACATTTAGTTTTAAAAAACTTTTTTGTAGAAAACCGTCGTACACCGAAATCGTAACGATTTCGTTACAATGGAAAAGAATTTATGCTAAATCCACGTGAACTTCACGTGTTAATATTAATACTCTGACCATGAAATAAAACTGATTTATAAGAAATTATCTTACAAATAAATTTTCCAATTAAAAAATATAATTTATTGTTTTTTTAAGTGATTATAAATATATCAAGCGATATATGTATTTAACCCGAAAATTTATTAAATAGGTGTGTAAATTTTTGTTTTCATAGTGTTTGCAAAGTTTAAGTTAATTTCATGACTTTTTCTAATGAAATTTAACTGTATTAAGGATCCTTCCATAAGCTTATACTCATTGCTCAGAATTCTTTTAACATTCATCGGCGATATCACATCCCAAAGACTTTTAATTTTTTTAAAGATTTTCATTACTGAAAGCCTTCATACATAAAACAATATATTAATATTAATATCAGATACAATATTTAGTAGTTTAACAATTTGCTGAACAGACATGAAAAATCTGATTATTTTAGTGGTACAAATTTTTTTTTTTTAAGTACTGATAATCTTTTTCATTTTTAATACACTTCTTTCAACAATTTTCTAATTTATGAATCACATTTCTTTAGTGACTTTTCAAAAGAACTGTAAAAACCTCTTAATATCCCTTAGATATGAGAGATTTAAACTCTAGGTATAGAGAAAATCGTTTTCCACAAAAGAAGTTCTGAGATGTAAGAAGAATTACAAATTCATAACTGAAGTATCATATTGAAAACACCACAACTTGTTAGCAGTTACAATGGCTTATATGGTTTATAGATTCATTCAAGAATATTTTAAATATAAAAATAATTTTAAATATATCTTCACAACGCTGAATTCTACAACACTTTTGGTCCTTCATCAGAGTACATAGTATGAAGCACGCACAAACTTTTCATGTGTCCAAATTTTCGATCAACATTTTATAAACTATAATGTTGATATAACGATTCTCCTTTTAATGAGACTCGCAAATATTCAGCGGTTAAACAAATAGGCTCAAATTTTGCCCGAGTTCTCTTGACCTCTGTTAATATTATAGATCAAAACTACACTATTCATTTATTATCATTTATTTGTGCTTGACTGTTTCTTCTTAAGCATTATGGTCAAGGCTTTTACAGTACCCATTAGATCTAATACGTTATCATCTTTGTAGTTCTTTTGACTAAATTATTATAAATATTTCTTTGGATTAAATTCATTTTAAATCAAAAGTTAATAACGAGAAAGACGATGTAAAATGGGTAACTCTGGAAATAAAAATAATACATTTATTTATTTGGTAATCAAAGTAATATGTAAATTATTTGTGCTGGAACAATTTGAATTTGATTTAATAAATTCTTAATCCACATTTATTTAAAAAGGCAAAAAAATAAAAATAATAGAAAAATTCAATTAAATCTTTTATTTTTTGCAATCAATATAACATAACGAAATAATATTCAAAAATAAAGCTTTAAAATAATATAATGTAACTTATTTAGTGATTTAATGCTTAAAAGAATTGAAATAATATTAAGCAACTAAAAAATTTTATTTAATATAAATAAAAAAAAAATATATATTAACTCAGTCAAATTTATTTACCAAACAGAAAGCCATAAAAAATTTTATAGCTAATAAATTAATAAATTTTTAAATTCTGCATGTAAGCAAGATTAAATTTTTTATCTGCAGTTTTATAAATCGACATTTGTTTATTAAAAAATACATTTTTTTCTTAGTATAAATTTTTTTATACCTTATTTGTTTGAAAAACTATTGAAATTTTTTTTAAGAAGATATGCCGTGAGTGCAATTGGGTATTCATAAAAATCAACTAATTTGCTTATTCATTTCATTTGCAACAAAAAATTAGCAACCGATAATCCAACATCTGTGATAATATCGGATTCAAAGCAGAATCTGAAGGATACAACGGTGACATCGACATATGCAACGCAAGCACCTGCATCAACGACAACAACAACTTTGACCCCAACATTACCGATTGGCATGTCAAGTGGGTTAAATCCAAGCAATATTGGTGGTGGCCTTAGTGTAACGTCAACAACTCTGACGGTAGGAAATCATTTAGATGTTCCACAAGCAGGAAATCCCAATCTTCTTAGTCCAGACGTATTAAACCAAAGAAGAGGTACCTTAATAAATAACAATATTATTCAAATTAGATAACGTGCTACTCAAATAAATATACGAGTAATATTAATATTTCTTTTAAAATTTATTAATTTAAAAAATTTTATTTTTTATATTATAGGCAGTCGGAGGCCCTCTATTCTGCCTGTACCCGACATGTTTACATCCTCGTCATTTAGTATTTCAGGAAATGATGATGGAGATGAGGGTGATGAAAGTGAAGATGAAATCGATGATGATGTTCCATGGCGCTCACCATCTGAAAAAATTGCGTAAGTATATTATAAAAATAAAAGAAAAATAGCAATAATAAAATTAAACAACTTGATGACAACCACAGCTGAATATTTTCCATATTTAAGCGTTAAAATAGCTTCCCATACACTATGTTAATCCCAGCCATAGTAGTCACAATATTTTTGTTTTTTTTTTTTTTGAAATATTTAATTTAAATTATTTTTATTTATTAATAAACAAATTGAAACATATTAAGATTTAGAATAATTTTTAAAATTTAATATAATGCCTTCTTACACTTTTAACTTTAAATTTAAGTAATGAATGACTTTGAAATACCTTGTATCGAAACTACATATAAATTGCTAGTTTATCCTTATTATCTAACTGCATGACATAACGCATTAAAGTTGTGATCAAAAATCAGATGAACTCACAACTAAAGCTGTTATCAATATTAAAAAGTTTAAGCTTTAAGAAATGTTTTGAAAATGATCGAAGTAATATATTTTGCAATAAAGCCGCTGTGAAGAGATTGGCATTAAAAATTAACAAGTCATCCAGATACACTTTTTACTTAAAAGAGAAAAATTTGTTCATATACATTTCAAAAAACAACAAAAAATTGTTTCGAAGCTTACTATCTTCCATTAACCCATCTCTTGCCCACAGTTGTTTGGGTGGACATTTTCCTCAATCACGTACTTATTCTCTAATTATGAGTTCATCGGAAGAATCGAATCTGCGCTGCTGCTGTAAAAATTTTCAAAACAGATCTCATATGCAAATTATGAAGAAGAGCTATAGTTGCGATAGTGATTGTGCTCGCAAAAGCAACTATGCGAAAACCTTCGCTCCATACAAATTCGTGCCACAAACCTTACACTACTGCTGCAGCTCATGTTCTACGACCACAGCTGCTCCAGCTTCCTCGGGTACTGCAGCCACCATCACTACCAACAGCCATCAAACAATTGTCACCAGCAGCAGTTCTTCCTGCAATGGAACAACTGTTCGACCTGTCTGGGCGGCAGACTACTCACGGTAAGTGGAGTTCGGGATCGCAGCGGCTTCATTCGCATCCATCGTGCAGTTGTTGAAATGCTTTTTTCCAGCTAACTGGCTGGATTTTGTGGCACTGGGAATGTCGTTTGAAATGCCTTTTATGAAATTTTGGCGTTAAACTTATTAGTTTTTGTTTTCATTAAATGAAGGCTTTTTTATGTCTTAAGAATTTTTGCTTTCCACATTAGAATTAAACAATTAATTGCAGTTTAAAATATTTTGTTCGTAAGCAAAAAACTTCATTATTCATAAAAATTCGAACAATTTATAAGTAGACTTGCAGAGTTATAGCTAAGTTAAATTTTTAAAAGCTTTGTTATATTAATTAATTTATAAAATTTTAAACTTTAATCATATAAACTCTACGCTGTCGTATTTGTCTAAGGAACCATTGCATTCTAAAATTTATGGGCTTCAAGTGGTGTTCCGTTAACTGATTGTAATTTATATATTAACATTATTGTACATCATAAATATTTATTGCATTATTACATAGATTTAAACTATATTGATTATGATACGTATTCGTACTCTTTGCTATTGAGATACCTATAAGTATATTCTCAACTTTTTAGTAATACCCTTCCATTGTATATAAGAAAGCAAAGTTATTATTTAATTAAAGAAAAATATTTACATTTAGAGTTTCAAGAAAAATCTTGAAATTTTCAATTGAATGTCATTCTTCTGATTTGATAAAATATACAATAATTATATCGTATATAATTATGGAAGCTAGTAGTAGAGTGTGGGTGTACAACTGCAGCTATCTAAGTTTAAAATGCCCAGAAAATTTAATATGTAATATTTGAATAAAAACTGTGTATCTGCAGCTTTCATGTTTCATTTAAGCTGTATCTATTGAACTTATTAATATTATTTAATAATATTATTTATTTAATATTAAGTAAATAACAGTTTTTTTATAAATCGTTAATAGGTTGGAATAACTTTTTTAACATAACTTATCTAAAAAGTTTAATCGCTTCACAATTTCCACCGTATGTGGATATATTTATTAGTAACGTATATCTAATTTACAAGACCAAAAAAATATATATAAATAATTACTTTTTAATATATTAGTTATTTAATAATTTAATTAGGAAGTAAAACATATATGTTCATTCTTTTATTCTAAAATTACGGAAAAATGCAGATGATATGACAATTATAATCCGGAGAAAGAGATAGGGTATCTAATTTGTTCAAAGAAAAAAATGATATGGCTAAAAGAGCATATCTATAAAAAATGAAAGCGAAATCAAATATTACATAGCTAATAACTTACGGATATGACAATTCAAATAAGCAGGAAATATCGATTGGTGAATACAGTATTGGTGTTATTGACACCCTTACTAATCTCGATGATCTGGTTATCAAAACAAAAAAAAATGATAACAGCAACGCAATATATGACAGCCTTTAAGAATCAAAAAATTACTTTACAAATATAAATCTTTTTAAAATTGTTATCTAGAAGAAGTAAAAACTCTACGATGAAAAAAGTGGACGCTGAATCTTCGACAAAAAAGATGAATGCCAAATTTATGATTCTATTAAGAGAAGAGAAGAAACTTTCAGGAGATAAACAAATCAGCTACCAAAATAGACTGTAAACAAAATGAAAAGATAATGTTCATAAGGACGTTAGAATCCTTAACACCAACACATCGTGGCGACAAGTCGTGGAAAAGACCAACATTTACGGCATCGTTTTATATTCATATATATTCATTTATATCTTTTACATATGCTGTACATAATTTATTGACCGTCGTTGTCAAAAATACTATTTAGTGCCCAATTTAATTTAGTTAAGGTTGTCATTTGATAAGCAACTTCAGATGCACAAAATAGGCGTAACAGTTCTGAATATTTCGAATGTTATTGTGTAACTATATAAGTCAACAGGCTTTCATGATATCTAGGATCTCCATGATAATATAAACAAACTTAACATTACAGTTTTCAATATACTTTAGTGTTCTTGTTAAACGCTGTTACTAGAGATTCACGAAGGTTTGTTAGCTCACTTTTAAAACCAAAATGTTTTTCATGGAGAACTGAGTAAGAACCTCTACCATTAAAGTAAATCTCTGGCATATTTAATCTTTGGTACATTTCAAAGTGGTATATTTCAATATGTTTTTAATTACCATACGACAATAGGATAAGATTAAGGTAATCAAAATAAATGTATATTTCTTAAAAATACTGTATTTTCACTGGGTCAGTTATGTCAGCAATGAATATTTTACTTAATGAAAACTATTGAATTTAATAGAGCGGTTCCGAAAAATAGTGAACTACAACATAATATTTCAGTTAATTGAAATTTTGGCTGACCATATAGCTTTTTCGAGTATTGCCAAATATGAATAATTAAATATAAGAAGTAATTTCAAGACCACTGATGTTGAGTATTTGGCAATATTCGAAAGACTTATGATTAGCCGAAAATTCAATTACTTAAAATAATATAAAACATTTTTGTTGTTGTAGTTCACTATTGTTCTAAACCTCTCTATAAAATATGAAAAAGTATATTTCTTATATGTACTTATTAAAAATTAGAGAAGAATTTCAACAAAAAAAAAGGTTGTGTACCATATAAATCACCATAATTAAACTTAATTTAATGATGTCCATCTTAATATGTGTGCATCTGTTTGCTTAAATGTCTGTCTGTCGGTTTAGATAGAGGTTTTGTTAGCCAGCAAACTAATCTCTTATATTAAGTTAGTTGCTACTAAATGAAACTTTTCAAATGGAGTTTTAGTAAATACAGCCTAATCTAATTAAAGGATAAATAAAATGATGTGATTATATTAAATCTATATAATATAAAAACTTGAGGCAATTTTTTATATGTAGGAGAGTCCATATCAAAACTCAAATCGATATTTGTAGCTAAAGAAATTTGTTGGATTTGGTTATTTTAGCTGATTGGGGTAACTTTAGTTAACGTAGGTGAATTCAAGATAATTTATGCGAATTTAATCAATTTAATGTAATTAGGTTAATTTAGGTGAATATAGGTTAAAATTGCAGCCTTTCTAGCAAAGCGCACTAGACTACAAATAATGGAGCCATGTGGATACTTAGCTAATTCAAAATATCTAATTTAATTATTATATTTTTATAACATTTCAATTTTTTCAATTAATTAAAAACAATGAAGCACATAATAAAAACTGATTAGTAGGTTAAAATTGAAGCTACTTATATTTCAACTACATTCGTTCAAATAACTGACGCTTCTTCACTCTTGAAAAATATGCATTTAAATTTAATTGGAAAGAAATGCAAATGCGCACAGGATGCTTTAAATAAAGGACTTCGGGCTTAAGGACTTCTTCAAACAGAAGCATTAATAGTTGCATGTCAAAAAAGCGTTATTTCATAAAATATAAATACATAAACTATAAAGAAACATATGTAGAGAAGCTTTTTGTTCATAATAATTAATAAAATTTACTTATAATATTTTAAAGTAATATGCATTTCATTTAAATACTTTTATGTTTGCTTAATTTTCGTTTCAAAATATTAAAGTTTTTAATAATTTTCAATGCACTCGTTCCTTTGTTCAAATTAATTGAGATTCCTTGACTTTCGTTGAATATAAATTCGTTTTTGTGCTTCCGCTGAAAACCTTAATTATTTTAAACTTTAAATAAATTGCAATTTACGATTTTACAGCATTGTGAAAGGCTTTCCGCCGGTGTCACCTTTCATAGGCGTCAGCCCTACGCTCTGCTATTTGCTCAAAGAAAAGAAGCCGCTCTGTTGCCTGCAGTTGGCTCAGGTAATCGCATTGAACTTCATTTATTTAAGGACAGTAATTAATAAAATTAAGAGTACTACAAGCATCCTTTCCTATCGTTTTTACACAGGTATGTGAACACTGTAGCTATCGCAACGCGAAGGAATATCAATGGCAAAATAAGACAATTATACTCGCGGCGGACTATGCATCCAATGGCATTTATAATTTCATCATACCATTGCGTGCGCATTTTCGTTCCAAGACTTCGTTGAATCCAATTATATTGCTACTCGAACGTAGGCCAGATGTGGCATTTTTGGATGCACTATCTTATTTTCCATTGGTAAATGCATATATGCTTAAAATGAAATTCAAATAGTCATTTATTTCACTATTTTTTTTGAAAAATAAGGTTTATTGGATGCTAGGTTCCATAGATTGTCTTGATGACTTATTACGTGCTGGTATCACTTTAGCCGAAAGCGTTGTGGTAGTTAACAAGGAGCTCTCCAATTCAGCAGAAGAAGACTCCCTTGCGGATTGTAACACAATAGTAGCTGTGCAAACCATGTTTAAGTGCGTAAAAATATAATAATTTAAAAATGAATAGCAAAAAAAATTAAATTTACTAATTATGTTAATTTTAAAGATTCTTTCCAAGTATCAAAAGCATCACCGAACTGTCGCAGAGCTCAAATATGCGTTTTATGCAATTTCGAGCACACGACAAATATGCGCTGCACTTAAGTAAAATGGAGAAGGTAAGATAAGAAATCAATTTTTTTTTGAATAATACAACTATAAAATTATCATTAAATTCAAACACTCAATATTGAATGCAAGTTCAACTTAAACAATAATTTAAAATACAATCTTTCAGCGGGAGAAAGAACGGGGTTCTCACATTTCGTATATGTTTCGTCTGCCTTTTGCTGCGGGTGCCGTTTTCAGTGCATCTATGCTGGATACCTTACTTTATCAGGCTTTTGTCAAAGACTATGTCATAACATTTGTGAGACTGCTATTAGGTATAGATCAAGCACCTGGCAGTGGTTTTTTGACATCGGTAAGTTGCTAACAAATATTTTTATCGATCTATTCTATATCTATAAACGAACTTCTCAAATTTTACAATTTTTTATAGATGCGTATTACTAAGGATGATATGTGGATACGTACATATGGACGTTTATATCAAAAATTATGTTCAACAACTTGTGAAATACCAATTGGCATTTATCGCACACAGGACACATCTAATACGGATGCAGCACATGTGAGTAATTCACCGGTCGAGAGATGGCGTCCGTTTTCATCATTCGGAAAGCACTGTGTGCGCTTGCGACCATCGGTGAGTCCAAATATAAAAACTACTGCTACTGCGCCAATAATCTTAATCTACTAACACAATAACAATTGGAACATAATTATCATCATTACGAACATAATTACACGCTATTAACTATTTATCAGTCATTAAAGATAATCGCTGCCATTTGTTAAGTCTCACACAAGCGCGTTTTTGAATATTTTTTAACATTTTAGTTTTGAATTAAAAAATTTATAAACAAATTTTTTAGTATTTTATTATTTCCTTTTTGTATATTTTTGTATAATTTGCATTTACTTTGAGTTTCTTATTAATTATCAATTTTTTGTTAATAATGAGAAAATCGAAGTTTTATATCAAAAGCTTGATATATATTCATACCAATTCTAAGGATAGAAATTTTGTCGTTATCGAGTCCTTATAAAGGAAAGAATTTAACAATTTGTAGTAAATAATATAATTATTGTAAGAAAATTAAGTTTATGATACTAGTATAATACTAATTTTTAGTCTTTACTATTCCATATATGCATTAGTATTATTTAAGCTTTGAAATTATTTTAATAAAATCACTTACCCTAAAAAATATCATGTTAATGAACATTTAAATGATCTATCGGTATTTTTTTTCATATTTAACAGTTAATTATCTATTCCGAACTTGGATTAGTACAACATTTATTTTCTTAATTTTGTTTTTTGCCAAAACGAATATTTTATATGGGTTATGAAAGCAAAATGTCAGTACCCTATTCACACAACACAACTCAATCTTCATCATAAACAAATTTATGACAGAAAGGTTTAGAAAACGAATATCAATTTCGTCTTAATGTTTCTGATCCGGTTTTACCGTGAAAATAAACTATAAAAATCTTACCTTCTAAGCTCAATCACCATGTCTTCAACCATATTTCTCTTATGAGACAACCAGAATGTTTAATAAAAACATTATTACATTTAGAAACCACTCTCACAGCATATATAACCTGTACGGAGTTATTATAATTTCTCCGATACAACCAGTAATTTTAACTTTGACTGCAGCAAAGATGGTTACATAATGGAGTTTCTCCAAATATTAAATTTGTTCTTTAATGCATCACACGCCTTGAAATAATGCATGCTTTGTGTTTTCTATTTTATTACCCTCATAGCGATCACAAGTTTTTGTGATTATACAATCTGAAAAAGTATGCTTTAAAACAATTGTCTCCAATGGCACCTCATGCAGCTAAATCTTCAATGAACAATGCTTTCACTATTTCATCTAATCTTCCTAATTGGGATAGTTTAAATAATTTATTTTGTTTTCTTTTATTTCAAATACAAGGGTATCGAAAACTAACAACCCTGTTAACTTTTCGTTCAGTTCTAAATACACTATATACTCGAACACCACATATTGGCCATGTAATTCTTTATGTATATCAACAAAGTTATCAATAACTAGCTGACACTAGTATCATATTAAATTTTAAATACACTGTAAATTCAACCCGACATATTCTAGATGCTGAATATATATATACATATATATTTTTAAAATTATAAGAGGAGACTTTTTATTACAGTACGTTCAACCGTATGGGACTGAATCTATACTCTTCAATTCTTCTAGAAGTTGTCAGAGAATAAGTCTCATTAGTGATTCACTTTGATTGTATATAAGAGGTATATTAGGTTATTGCATTCAGTTTTGATTAACTGAACTCGAACACGCCTGTTTTCCCAAGACTACAATACTGTATAATATATGTGATATATATGCACCTAGGTCATATTAAATATATTATAATTATAATATATAATAAATACTATATATATTATTATATATAACATATACTATACATTGTATATAATATATACTGTGTACTATATATATAATATATATATACATTATATATAATATATATTGTATACTATATATATAATATATATTATATACCATATTGTAACATATATTATTATGGAAAACACACAATTCAGTAATATTAGGATAAGTTAATTTATTTTGTATAGTCCCCGTTTTGTTATTACGCACCCGAGAATAAGATTTGGAAAAATATTTACAACTAACTAGCAGTATTAATAAAACAGATTATTTTCTTAAGATTGTTATTTAGGATAACCCTTTAAACACCTAGTTCGTAGACCTTTTTAATAAAATGTATTCATATAGAATCAACTTAATATTTACTCTGGAAATGTTACTTTCGGGTTTGCTTTGATGAACTTAAGTTGTTTTGTCTCTGGAAATGTCATTATCGGGTTTGCTTTGATAAACTTAAATAATTTTGCAACAAATTTCTATTTAAATATTATATTAATTAGAGAAAATTGTGGGTAGACCGGTTATATTTTTAATTTAACAGTAATAAGCCAAATAACCTATTTCCATAGAATTTCTTATGGCTCAGAATCCAATAAAGATATTTTGTAAATTTGTATTATACTTCTTTTTTCGCATATATTTTTAAGATATTAATAATATTATTAATTTTTTTTAATAAATGTTTTAATATATATTTTCATTTAATTTAATTTTATTATAACATTTTAATATCCTTTAATTTCCTTGCTTAATATCCTTGCTTTTGTTTTTTGTATAAAATTTTTATACTTCTCTCAATTTCTTCCTTTTATGCACTGAGAAAAATTTTATACAAATTAATTAAGTACTCTAAAACATTTCTCATGGCAATACAAAATTATTTAAAAATATATATTAATATAAAATTAAATATTAATATAAAATAAAATATTTTTTTTAGTGCATAATTCCTTCATTTTTAATTGCTTTTGCCTATTTTTTTAAACTATAGCAAAGCTTTCTATACTAAAACTGAGTACTTTTTATAAAATAATATAACTATATAATGCTAATCTCTACCATTTTAATTTTAATTTTAATATTTCTATAAAATATTTAATGGATTGTTTATAAATTATAGTATAAAAATAAAAATTGTATAGAATCAATTTAACCAAATTTTGACTATTTTAACTTCTACCACTTTGAACCGATTTTAGTGCATAATTTTTATATACCAATCATTTAAAATTAAATAAACTAATACTTTATGCTCTACAAAATAAGAACTTATATAAATTTTATATTAAATTTATTAAAAATCGCACGTTTTTAATATTTTTTACAAAAAATAAGCAAAATTTTTAGCAATATTTTTTTAAATAAGTGAGCACAACTCGTCTCTACACTGTTGTGTGAGTCTTTGAATAATTAATAACAACAACAAAACCTTTAAAACACTTGAATTCATACTCAAATTAACATTAAAAATTAAAACAATTCCAAGTGAAAGGGAATTGGAGTTCAGTCATACGCAACCATTAAACCGCAATTTTAATTAGAAAATACAATAATTAAATAATGTGTACATATAAAGTATTGGACTTGACCCGATAATTACGCACACGCACGCAGTGAGTCTTTCAACAATTTTATAACAAACCAAAAAAAATTATAAAAAAAAATTATTAAAAAAATTAATCAAATTCGTATTAATTTGTTATAAAAAATTTTTATTAAATTTTTTATCAAATTTTGTCGTAAATAGTTTTGATGTTGTTCTTACCTCTTTGACGTTCATAATTAGTTTCATTAACGAATGTCCTTGCAAGTTATCAAGTTATCAGCAATAAGTTTTAGTTACTGAGTGTATCCTTTGCACTTGCATGCTTTTCTTAATATATTTGCATTTATATATATGTATAGTTATTTAAATATTTATTATTTTAAAATAGTGTTCTCACAGTATAATTGTCAATTTTTTATTATTGTTAAAAATAAAAATCAAGAAAAGACAACCAAATATTTCACATTTATTTTTATTTAATCGATATTACGAATCAATCTAAAGTCGTTATCAGGACACTACTTTATGTATAGCTTTTTTTTAATTTTATCTACATATTTCAAATACGAGTATTTCCACTGCTACATAAACAATTATTTATGCATAAGTATAGTCAAAAAAAAATTGTTTTGGAACAAATTATTACAGTAGATCCATTAAATTATTCTATTAGAAGGATTTTGTCAAAACAATAACAAACCCTACGTTTCATTTTCATCATTTGACATTACCTTATATCGCGACATAAACCTTATACCCAATTCATGCTATGTGAATTAGCGTCCATTAACTGCTCAACCTATTTAAGTAGTTGCTGTTGTTTATGCGTTTGTTGTTTTTAAACCCTATTGCAACCTTCTGGTGAAAGAAGGAGGCAAGAAAAGGCCTCTTACCTTCTTACCTAAAGATTATAGCTGAATTATTACAGAAATTCTTACATTAAAAACCAAATTGCTTCAGTTACCTCTCAATTTTTTTATGGTTCACTTATGTTTTAGATTATAGCTGCTCTCTGAGCAAATATAGGAACTGAATACAAACTTAAAATGCTTTTCGCAATTGATCTTAAGCTTGTAGTGTGTATTGAGGTTTAACTTCCTTAAACATACGTGCCATTGTCTTTCTGTTATGTGTCATCCTCATTCAGTTGAGAGTGCCTATTACTTATTATTACGTCTAATAATAACATCATTTGGCTAACGCATATTCTTCTTGAATCTAAATGGATTGGTTTATTATTGTTTGCTTTGGACAGCTTTCCACTTTTCAGATAATTAAGCTGCCATTAACTTATTATAATAAATCGAAATAATTTTCTTTTGTTTGGAGTAAGATGACCGTAGTTAGGTGGAATATGTTTTGTTCAGGCCTAACGCAACCATGGCGTTCAATACGCAACTCTACCAATATTTAATCCAACTCTTCATACATTTGTCATCAAGGATTTATGGATACAATTCTTCATTTTACTAACTTTAATAATACTTTATTTTTCTTCAATTTTCTGAGAATCTTTTCATGTTTCTGTAAGCAGAAATGTATTCTGTCATTGACCAGCATTTTCCAGTAGATCATTATCCACTTTAGAACTTTCCTTGTTTAAGTGCCAGTCCGCTTACTCTAACAGAGGAATTAAAAGCATTGCTCATTTCAATAAAATTGATTTCTTGATTTGAACCAGATCATTTGTAATGGTATGTATGTCGCTTTAACTATGATATTCCAATGCACTAAAGTAAAGGACCCAAGTGAGTCACGTCTTCTGGTAACAAAGCACTCATCTATCATCATACCAGTAAATCATGCATTTTAAAAGTTTCCTGTTTTAAGTGTCAGTCCGCTAACTCTAATAGAGAAATTAAAAGCATTGCCCATTTCAATAAAATTGCTTTTTTGATTTGAACCAGATCACTTGGAATGGTATGCATGTCACTTTAGCTATGATATCCCAATATACTAAAGTAAAGGGCTTAAGTAAGCCATGTCTTTTGGTAAAAAGAGCTATCATCGATCATCATCTATTATTTCATAATAAATATGTTCTTAAACACTTAAACCCTTTTCTCCATATATCTACTCTACTATTCTTTTCTATATATGTGCAACTACTTACTTATTCAATATTTGTAAATCCATCGGTATTTAGGTTTATACTGCAGCTTGGTGAAGTTAAACTTCAGTGTTTTAGATGCCTTCACCTAAAGCATTTTTCAACTTTTTTCACAAATTTTACTTTACAGCACTTAATATTTTTTTTTTATTATTTTTTTTTTTTAATATTAAAATTCCTTATAAATTAGTTTTGTATGCAAATATTTCTTAGTTTATACAACTTCAACTACAAAATTTATTTTTTTTGTATTTATTTCTCAATATTTTCCCTTTACTTTCTTCGATATTTGTTGGCTGTTGTAAAAATGCATGTTTAGTGATTTCCGCTTCCGTTTCAATTTTAATCAATTTTGTATGCAAAAAGGAGCTTTGCCGCTTTTAGGAATAAATTAAATCAGTTTTAAGTGTTTTTTAAATTCATTTTTAAATTTTAAGTTTTTAAATTCGATTTAATAATGTTTTGCTTTTTAACTATTTGTGCATCAGAAAATTCAATGTGAAGTGCTTCATACACTTTTTTATGAAAAAAATATGTTCCTATAATTTTATTATTTAAAAAGGTTTTCAACACAAAACCGTAAATTCGATTAAAAATTGTGCCTTTTTACTTCATTTTCCTTTTCATTTTCAATTTAAATTTGTTTTTCGTAGATTTCTGTTATCATTTTTATAGAGTTTTCAAGCATGTAAATTGAATTTTGCGAAATTGCATATTAATAAATTTTGAACATTTTTATATGCATTTTGAAACCAAAGAAAAACAAATGAAAAACGAAATAAAATTTTAAATTCAAAAAAAGATATGAAGTCAGTTATCTGTTAAAAAAACTTTCACTACATTTTCTCATAAACACGCTCATTTATACGCTGACAATTGAAAACAAAAGTATGATGAAGAAGCTGGCACTCCCGATTCTCTGAAAGGCAGCACTGAGGCCTTGCGTGGCGTTACTTACCGTCCGCCATCATCGTCCGGGCCACACAATCACCGCCACCCACATCACCACAAATCCACCACCTGCCTAGGTGGTTGCTCTGAACGCAAAGGATCATCAGTAAGTAAATCGCCCAACACATGACATGTCTTTACCCTCCCACATTCTCACCGAAATTATAACAACGTTTGTGGTATTTAAATAAATAATTTTTTAAATAAATTTTTTTATTTCACAAAATAATTTTAAATATAATTTTCCCAACGGATGTAGCATTTGTGTGTTTTCTAGAGTCAACATTGAATTGACATTCAAACAAATTTGGTTTTTAGCATAAAGCTCACCTTTAGAATCTTAAGATGATACTATATACGAGTATAGGTATTGATTGTGACTGTTGCGTTAAGTAATATTCTAAGACATTGGCGTACCCAGGATAGTGCCAAGGGTATAGGAAATTATAAACAATTTTTTTGTTGCGTATTGTCAAAGAGTCTTCCCCTTAACCACACACCCTGACTACGCCACAGTCCTAAGATAAATTTTTCATCACGAAAAATATTTTATTAATTTTTCTTCCTATATTTTAACAAAAAATTATTAAGTCTATCATTAACTTATAGTCAAGAGTAATGTATAATAGATATCATTTAGATATTATAATTGAAGTATAAAAGGTGTTTCGTAATATGTAATTTTAGTTATTGCGCTCAATCTATCCAAATAATTACTCATAACGAAAAATAACAGTACAAATAAAAAAAAATTTTATTGGAGTTCTAAATTTATATAAAATAAGAAAATTTTTTCATCGATAATTCCGATAACTATAAACTTTTGGAATTAACTGACTATATATCCATAGATTAGTTGAGGTTGGAGTGGTGGCCTTCCCCATTTGAGAATAAATCATGTCCCCTTGTGACACCACAGATAACCGCTTTTTACATGCCATGACCACCAAAAAATAAATAAGCGCCTAAATGGTGAGCACAGAAATAACGTTGGAAACAGCATGGCTCTCCATTTCAGTATAACTTGAGCGATATCTATTAGCAGACTGTGCATCGGAAGTCTAATTTGAATTCTTACCCAAATTTAGATATAGAAATAAAGTATAGATTCTTTCGACTTATATAGTCGTAATGTACTGAGATATTGATAGTTATACGAAATGACATGATTCCAACTTCTCGAGCACACCGATTTTACAATGGATTTTAATAGAATTAACTTTTTTTGAGCAACGTTTCCACTACATTACATGGTCGAATATTTTTCGAAAGTTACTTCTTAACAAATCAAGGTTAAAAAAGGTTAAAAAACACTACATTGACATCAACTATTGTGTTCCGAAACTACAGACAAATTTGCAAGAAATGTGTCAACCTCGCCGCTTGTAATCCTGAAATCAATCATTTCTATTCATTCATTCGGAAAGAGCAGGAGACACAAAGAAAGCTAGACTTAAGTTGTATATAATCCTTAAAACGTTGAAAATTGAAAATTATTATACACGATTTCGATTATGATAGCCCTGATAGATTATTCGAGTCTAGCTTTCTTTGTAAGTAAAAATAATTTAAAAACATTCTGAGAGAGCACTGTAGATTTAACTATAACCTATTACAAAACTGAGAACTTACTCTAATACAACATGTAGGATTTCTAGGAAAATGAAAGAGACCTCAAAAAATTTACTGAAATATTTCCTCGTACTGACGCATAAACGAAAGAAGTCCTAAATAATATCCTCATCGAATGATGAAATAAAATTGTGTTATAGTGGTTCAAACTTTAATAAATAAAAGAAGTTGGACTTGGAGAAATACTTTAAATTTATGACGTGGACACAATAGATCTCTAAATCGTAAACTGTTTTTTTCTTTGTTTTTAATAAAGATATTAATTAACAATTACGATGGAATCAACTTATATTGATATAAAAGTATAGAGAAAATTTTTTATATATCGGTTCAGATTAAGATATACTTGACATTTAACTGTCGATTTGTACATATATTATTGTTAGAAAAAAGTTTTTTTTCTTCTAATTAGTTACTTCAGAAAAAAAATTTAGAACTTAAGCGTTATATGTACAATCTAACTTGTGTAAGGAAAATGTTAGATAATATCAATATTATATAGCTTAAACATAAACTAATATAAACTAGAAATATGATTTTCTAGAAAAAGTTTTTCTTTTAATGTACTCGTATTCTCTTTAAATTTATAACTCGGACTTCTGAATTGATACATTGCATTCCGATTTTGGATTTTCCTACAAACTAATACTTTAGGTTTATCTTATTCTATATTATATGTACTGACTGTCACATTAAAAGCTCCTCCAACTTTAATAGCTACCGAAATAGAGACATTATCAGATAATTTATAGAATCTCTGATTAGAATTATTATATTATAAGTATGTTGTTTGTTCTAGATTATGTTATACATATATATTATTATATAAATGAGACCTCAGTATAGATTTTAAATTCTATGTATACCAAATCCATGTGTCTGTAAAGCCCAAGTTAACATTTATACTTGTTTAATTTTAAATTTCTTTCTACTTTTATTGGATTAGTATGTAAGTTCTTTAATTATTACTTCGAGTAGAAAACTTGATCAATGCTAGTTATTTAAAATTTAATCAGATCTTTATACATATAATTCTAATTCTGCCCAGTAAAATAAATTAGCCATCACTCTTAAACTAAGAAATCTTAAGGTACATTCTCTAATATGGCTGTTATTTATAAATAATATACATTAATTAACAATTACTAATACAAAGTTAAAGCTCATTACATTTTAGCCATACTCACATAGATTAATCGTAAAGGTAGGTGGTAAAGGTTCTTCTCAGATACGAAAATTGTACATATGAATTTTAGTTGTTAATAGAACTAAACAATTTTGCATATTGCTTTTAGTGTAAAAATAATAAAATAAAAATAACAAACTTCAAGCACATGAATTGATCAAGTTCTTAAATTTATTTAAATTTATTAAAAATGAAAACGAAATCAAAATTTTTCCAATTCGTTGAAAATTTTCAATTGAATGTGCATAACACCAACTGGAATGAATTCTGTTTATTGAATGTTATTAAATGTAGACTTTTCATTTCAACTGAAAGCATTTTGAACATTTAGAGAAGTTTTCATTTTTATTTTTGTAAAAATAACCAAATCGTATTAAGTTGCAAAAAGAAAATTCAGCACAAGCAACTCAGCAAACTAATCGTAAAGCAGTGTTCCATGCTATTTCAGTACTCCATCAACTTGGCAGATGAGGCACGAGACAATCATGCACAGCAGATCGAGAGAGCAGAGATAGCTAATCTGGTACGAAGCCGCATGGAATCGCTGAATTTGCCAACTATTGACTACGATGACGTGAGCGAAAAGCGGAATCATCTATCCTATGTAATAATTAATCCGAGCTGTGATCTAAAACTGGAGGAGGGTGACGTTATGTAAGTTATATGTTATATCTGAACTAATAATAATAATACTATAATTAACTTACACTTTTTTTCTCCATAGTTACTTGGTGCGCCCATCACCTTTCTCAGCGCAGAAGACCTTTGAGCGGCATAATTCAAGACGCAAATCTAACATATCTTTTTGTTCCAATATCAATTTGGGTGGCGCTTGCGGACCGAATGCTGGAGCTGGTGCAGGGTCTCGGCGTGGATCGGGCATTGCAGGACTCAACCCAATGCAGATGCAGAGCGTTCAGACGTTGGCCGGGTATGGTTCCCCACGCTGCACGCCGCCAATACAACAAATTAAATCCAATTCTCTTTCTCTACCCGACAGTCCGACGGTTGTTGGCTCACAGCGAGGAAGGAGTAACTCATTGCGGGTTGGCTATAGTTTACATTTCCATTTTCTCTATCAATTTATGTTTTACTTTCCTTTCGTATTTTTCAAATCTAACACTTATATTTGTTTTTGTATTTGAACGCTGTTTCTTGATGTTAAGTGCATTTGTATTTTAAGCAGAGCATTTATCCTTATTTTCTGAAATATATAACACTAACATTAATTAATGCTTATATTACATTCCGAAGGTGCGATATAAGTATTAAATATATGTTTTGGTCATAGTTTAAAATAAAGTAGATGCTCAGCACTTTATGTGTTTTCCTTTGTTGTTTTTTGAATTTATTTAAGAATTGGCGAAACCATTTCTACTCTCACACTATGTAAAGCACTCAAATATTTTTTTATAAAATTGGCAAAACCTAACAAAAACAAAAGTTAACAATAAACTGTAAATTGAAGCCACCCATAAAAATCGACACCAATCACAACTCGTAGAACAGTCCCAACACCATTTGATTTTTTTACCTATCGCTTGACTATTCAACCACATCAATAATGTACATCACTTGCCTCACTTGCATCACCACCAACACCATAATCGATCAAGTGCACATCCGACCAGATATCAAATCGCTCAATGTTAGGAAAGTGGCTCAACGGCAAAGTATGTGCTGCCACAGGACTTCAACGCATCCGTATCTGCATCATGTTGTTTTCTTGTGTTTAATAATATTTAATGTTCTTTCTTAATAACTTTTATATCGCCAAATTTGTTATATTAAAAATTTGTGTGAATTTTTGTTCCATTTATTTGACTTACAGATTGATAATGATATATTACTACGTCGCTCTTCGTCGTTGCGTCAAGGCCTGCCCAATGTGGGTGTAAGTCATGGCCGACGAAAGTCGTCATTGGAAGAAATTGGCATTAGTCACTTCACTACACTAATGCAGGCCACAAATCATACAAACCCCATTAAAATAGCACTTAATGGCAGTATTGGACTAGAGGTAAGCACACTCATTAAATATAAACTTTAAGCTATTGACTTCTATATGTATTCCAACTGCTGTACTTAGTGGAACATAAATTTGTATTTGAGTTATACAATATTTTATAGTGCTTAATTCTAGGTAATAGGGCTATTTATTTACACCTTTTCCCCAGATTTTGTAAGTAGAATTTCTATTCATTATAGAAAAATGATAAGAACTTTGAAGTGCTGAATGAAATTGATTTTTACTACACAAATGTGATGCCAAATATAGCACTAATATTCACTTTAAATTTAATTAACTCCACATCATTGTTATTTTGGCAGGCCTAGGTCTATTAAAATCTCATGCACCGAAATTTCATACCAAATGTAATAACTGTATAACTTGATACCACTTACATTCTTATTTAATTTGAAAACTCTACTCTAATCAGTCTGATAAATCGTACCAACTTAACAAAATAATATAAATAGACAGATTTAATCTCTATTATAGATCAAGAGAATAATTATATTTAATATTATTCATGAATCTGCATAATCAAGTGAATAATTGTGATAACTGTTAATAATGATATCAACGATAACAGTGATAACTGAAGAAAGCTAGTAAAATAAGATCCGAAATAATACATAGTAGGAATAGTTGAATAAGTACTAAAAGCAAATAATTTAATGCAACACGGTCGATTTTAAACTTCTGAAGACATACCAATAATATATTATATGGTTATTACCTATGTTTTAAAAACTCATTGAACGTCTTTCTAATCGTCAACTTAATCCGTTAATCCGTTACATATCAAAATTTAATTTGGAAGGAATGAAAAGTCAACGGAAATCCAATAACTAGCAACTGCTTTCTAACAGTAACTTCATTATTATAGACATTTTTATTTGTTAAAAATATTATTATTAGCATAACTAATATAAGAAAAATAATGTCTATCACACAATATATGGTCGAAAATAAATTGTATTTCTCTTAGTAATTAATTGCTGAAATACACACAATATCCTAATAGACATATATATATTGCCTATAGAAACCATCCTACGAGTCTGTATGCTCTCTTTATTATCCCTACCACAACTGTAAGAAAGATAACGAAAGAATTTTGTATCTGGTTTTACATTGTTCAGGACTAAGTAAGCTAGCATTTTCTTAGTCCAGCATTTTCTTGGAAGATCTCTCTTTAAAAAGAATCTTAGGCTTTATTGAACTCTTTGAGCATTATGCAACGACACAATTTTTTTGTCCAATTGACAATTTTATGTACGGCATCGCGGCCGCATCACTGATTCTGATTCTGTATTAGCAAAAGAAAGAATTTCAGTATCGTCAGCAAGAGTAGCAATAATGAAGTTCTCTGACGTGAGAGTATCGGAGGTGTATAGCAAGTACAAGACCTGACCAAGTATGTTTTCTGATGGGATGCCTGCTTTTATAGATTTTACTTCGGAAAAATTATTCTCAAATTTAATACGAAAATACCGATCAGTCAAGTATAACTCTAAGATTTCATAATAGTCAGTTGGAGGGATACCTCTAACTTTTTTAATGATTCCCACATGCCGGACTTTATGAAGCGCTTTAGCAACATCAGGGAACACGGCAGAGCAAAATTGTTTATCTCCAATGCATTTTTTAATTGTATTGGTGATGTATTGTATGCATCTGTTAAATTGTAAAGTGATTAGCTCTAAAGCCCAATTAATGAATTGGTATTGTACATTCAAAAAGGTTATAGATGAAACCTCAATTATAAGGTACTCAAACACTTCTTGAGAACTATTTGTCTTTTGTTCTGGCATTAACTTGGCAAGCAATAATATTATTCTTACTCTGATATAATATTAGCTATAGTTTTAATTCCTTTTGATATAGCACTTTATACATTTAGATAAAATGATGTCGTTTTCTTTAATATACTTAAGGGTATAACTGATATAGATTTTTTATTTAATTTTATTATTATATATATAAATTCCAATATTTGACCCCAAAAAAATGGTGACCTGAGGCTCCACTTAACAGCAGAATAATTATAATACTCTTTTAACTGAATTTACTAACAAAAAATTCCAAAAGAACCATATATCATTACAGGTAACACCACCCGAAGAACCCACGCCGATACTAGGAGTACCTTGTATTGTAGCTGGTGGAGCTGGCGGTGGCATAAATCCTTCAGCGCTGGGTGGCTCCTCATTGGTCAGCGGCTCAAATTTGGCAATCAATACAGCTGATCTAGGCAACAATTCGCCACTGCAGGTTCCACAAGATCAGACGCAAGCCGCACAAATGCAATCCCCGCAACATTTACAGGGTACAATCGTATGATACAACCTAATGTGGGGTCGCAGGCTCCGCTCTTCAATATCAAAAAAAAACAAGTGGATATAAATTATTATATTGTATTGTATTGTAAGTTTACGTGAACTATGTTAATTTATTTAAAAGAAACTATATAGTTTTATGCTATTTAGCTGTATGTATGTAAAAATATGTATGTAAGTAGTTCTTAAACTAGATATTATTTTAATATGAGGAAGAATGATGGTTAATAATTTTGTGTGTAGAGTGTGTCTGGAGAGTTTTTGTTTCTGCAATTTTGCTTATCAACGATTAATAATTATAATAACGTAGTAATTATTTCAATTACTATTTATATTTAATTAAGAAAGTCATTATATAGAATTAAGATAAAATTTTGTTTGCTCTGAAATAATTTTATTTACATATACATATGTATTATAGTATAAATAGTTATATACGAGTATATAAATGTACATATTTCATACTCTGAAATTGGGAATTAAATCGAGTATGTAAATATTTGTATATAGGCAATTAATATTTAATTTATTAATTATATTTTCACATTTTGTATAAAAATTTTCAATTTTTTGTATGCATAAAAGAATTTTTTTGCTAAAAAAGAAAAAAGTGTTTTGGGAACAAAAACGTAGCTATTAATCTATTAAATTGAGATACAAGGAAATATTCATCTGTAAATAAAAAAATGAATAAATATGCAAAACTGATATATTAATTAAGTTATATAAAAATAAATTCATCAAAATAATCTCGACAAGATATATATGACATTATATATCATATCGAGTTAAATATATATATTTTAATAAATTATATATAAGTATATGATAATGCAAAATTCTATTTTGCTTTAAAATAAGTTTAATTAATTACACTAACAATTTGTAATTAGCAAAATTAATTTAGGTGCTTGTTTCATTTATTTAACACTACAGTAGCATAGCAAAATTTCAAAACTGATTTTTAATTAATTTAAAAATGCATAAATAAGCCGCAATTATTAAGTATTAGACACATAAAAGTATAATAGAATTTATTAATAAATTATTTAATGAATTATTAAGAGAATTAATATAAGCGCCACGTCATTTTTTGAATTTCACATTTAACAAAATTATCTAACATATACATTACATTAGTCTCTGGGAATATGCCGACTGTCCCTGTTAGAACTTTTTGTAGACAGTATCTGTTTTGAATCATATATTAGTCTTTGTTCATTATTTTTGTTTCTGTAAGCAGTTCATTAAGTTAGACGAGGTTGTAATATTTGTCCTGTTATATATGTTATAGTTGAATTCGATATAGTACCCTTTGATAATATATCCATGTATAAAAAAAAATAAATGAACTTCAGTATGAAATTCATTGTAATAATATATTATATATTATTTCAGACTCCGCTTCATACCTTACCAATTTGGTTTATAGATTTGTCAAAATATACTTGCTTATTGTGTTATTTATATACGGTGTTATATATAAAGTATTATGATTATGCAGTTAGATTAACGCGATAAATTATTTAATCACGATAAAACTTATATATTTTCACAAACATTAATCCCATCTCTTATCGGGATGTAATAGTCTACCTTTTTGATGGTTTGCAACTTTTCTCATTATTATTATTAGTTTAATATTTTATATATAGACACAAGTGATAGATCAAAAACAGACAAGCGAGACTCAAGAGAGAGACAAGAGAGAATTATGATACATATACCTTTTATAAATATATCTTTTACTATTTCTTTACTTTAAATACAGTTTAAAATAAATTAACTATTAATTCAAAGGTATTCAACCTTCTTTAGAGAGTAGAGTTTCGTAGAGTTTTATATTTAATTAACTTTAATTGTGAGAAATATATTAATCTAAATACCTAAAGGTTTATTCTTCAATTTTTAAAACTGCTAGAAAGTCATTTTTATATCATTTTTTGTTGAGTTTCTAATTTTTCTTTCAGTTATAGTACAATTCTTTTAGTACAGTTAGCTTCACGACTATTGTTTAGTTCAATTTGTATATATATTTATGCTAAGTTGAGTTCTAGCTGTATGCATGAGTAAAATGAGAGGGTTTATAGTTATTTAAAAAAAAAATTTTTTTATTAAAATATACAAATATCTGCAATTGAACAGACTCTGTACTGACTACATTTCAAAGAGTTGTCTTATTTATTTAGTTATCAAATAATTATATTATTATTGTATATATTAATATATTGTTTTTATTATAATTTAATGGGTGCAACTTTTTTTATATTATACCTCGTAAATCAATTGTTTTAAGTTAATTTTCTTAATAGTTTAATAGAGTTTAGAGGCGAACTTAAGACTTCACCACGAGAGAACTAATTTAATTAAATTAAAAACATTCTTAGTTATGCGGGCAGTACAGATACATTACTTTGATATAATATAGTTGACATGGCAAAATTTAAATACCTTTAAAAAAAGAAAAGGTGTATGATACCCTCAGAACCATCTGCAATATACTTATGATATTATACTCTTTATCCACACTTTCTCCCAAACTAGGCCATCGATTAAGTGTTTCATTACATTGAAGAATGCTTCTGAGAGACTGAAATAATAAACATATAAATACATATATATATATATGTGTATATGTATAACTATAATAATACACTTCTGAACTTACTAGTACTTTGGTTTTAAATTATTTATAATTAATATTGAATATATATATATAATATTCAATCAAAATGAAAATAAAATTAAAATTAAATTGAAAATAAAATTTAATTTAAAATTAAAACTAAAATCAAATTAATTAAATTTAAACATTTTAAACTTTTATAACAAATTAACTTGCAATTTTTTTGTTACATTACTTTTATATGTTATTATTAATTGAGACTGTTTAAGAATATTTTCATTTACGACTTTTGAGTTGATTTTGTTAATTTGAGAAGAAAGTATCTGAAAGAAATAACTTAAGTCATTCTTATAATAACAATTCATAAATTACTTACACAATCCAATATTCCTCCATCGAAGTCAGAAGGAATATACATTAAGTTCAAGACACAGCAGGCCTTATATTATTTTTGATTTATTTTAAAATTCTTATATCTTTTATAAAATCATATTTTCTTAACAAAATAAAAACAAAATATAATTGTATAATATTATTACGTTTTTCATATATCAAACTCAAAAACTTTGTAAATTGAAAAACTGAATAAAAAGACGCTTTGGTATACTGTAAATGCTTTACAAAAACTAAAAACTGTAGCTTAAGAATTAAATTCGATAAACTGTAAATTTCATTATATAGTATATAGTATATAATATATGCATATATAGTTAAAATATGTAGTAAACGATCGTTAAGATACATTAGGTTTTTAGTTACTTCATAGACATATAAATTTGAATTGTTTATGGTTATGTATAGAATAAACTAAACATGGGAATCGAACCAAAAACATTAAGGATAAGTTAGCATATATGTAGTAGCAGAAATTTCAGAAATCTGAAATATATAATACAAATAGTTAATAAAATTTATATATATATAAATATATATATGTTTATATATAATATAAAGAGAATTTTAGTGAAGTTAATTTTAATGCCTTAATTTGAGTCTCGTGCGTAATCGCATTTATTGACGGAATTTTTAATTTTGAAGAAATACTTTCGCTGTTGATATCGTGTAACGTTCTAAAGCGCTTCTTTGAGACATTTTTAAAAAATTTATTCAAAAAAAAATCAAAGTAGTTTTTAAAAAATTATTTTTGCACTTCCTTAGCTTTAAATTAATCGCATACACACAAACTGATAATTTAGATATTATTTCAAATTAAAAAATAAAAATTTTAAAAATAATGTTTTAACATACGAAGAAATATCTGTACAATATAAAAATTAAAAATAAAAATAATTGTAGTAATAGAATTATATATATGCTACATATATATATATTTAACATATATGCAAATAATGTTTATAACAGAAAATTGAGAGAAAGTGTAAACTATCCAATAAATTGTATATGTAAATACTTATAATTGATTATGTGCAAAAAATTTAACTGTTAATATACAAGGATATGTGCTATGCATAATATATAAAATATGAATCTATTTAAAAAATTAAATAAATCTATTAACTGAGAATTAATAAAATAAAATTTCCTACAAATTTTAATCTAGTTTTTTGCATTTAATATATATAAATACAATATGTGCAGTCATAATTGCTTAACGTAGTAGATCTATATTCCCTTGCGCGTTTGCAACAATTATCAAATTAGATAGAACGATTAGCCGTATCAGCTATACCGCGACATTGACATAGTTAAGCGCATAATGCGGCTTTATACATACAGCGGCTTCATGCATACAGCGGCTTCATACATACAGCGGCTTCATACATACAGCCGCATACAGCGGTTTCGCGAATAGAAGAAAGTACTCCGGCTGAAAACGTGTTTGTTCAGGTACTCGTAGGTGAAAAACGCTGTAGAGGATCGGGTTTGATTAAAAAAATATTGCAAAAAAATATTTTTTTCTAACAAAAACATGTTTCTTGATCGCCGGTTTATAGCCGAGCTATATTTAAATCTTAGCCGATCAACTCAATTTTTATTACACAAGTTGTATTCTATAAATTATGACAAAAATTTCAAATTTAAAATTTTAATAAAAAAGTTTTTCTAACAAAAGTATGTTTTTGAATTGACTGTGTATATAGCAGCTATATCTAAATTTGAACTGTAATTAATAAAGCTTAGTATATTCACTTATATGAATATAATCACATTAAGAACCAAATTTTTTTGGAATGTATTTATTAAAAATGGAAAAACTTATTTCCGTTTATTCAATTCGTATGACAGCTATAGGATAGAGTGGTTTGATTTTCACCAATACCACATATGATTAAGCTCCACTGTCAAAAAGTATGTGTGCATAGTTTCATTCGAATAGCTCAAAAACTGTGGGACTACCTTGAACTGAAACAAATAGACTGATGCACAGGGCTAAACGAACTAAACTAATCGAGCTGATCAATTATATATACACTTTATGTTGTCTACGACGTTTCCTTCAAAGCAAT